AGAGAGCGAGAGGGTCGACTTGGTTGGCGGGATGACACTCAGTCTCCGTCTCCGTCTCAATCTCTGTCGAGTCAAGTCGAATAGTTTAGTTTAGGCAGAACTGCACCCCTCGAAAATCAATTCACGGTTTAATACCTTGGGAATTCAGGCGCGTTGCGCTCAGCAAGGAGAGGAGGAGGAGCTATGGCGCACAGCCTTGCGCCTTCAGCCTTCAGCGTGCAGCGTGTAGGGTGTAGCGTGCAACAGTGAGAGCACAGGGCAATACCGCAATGCGAGCAAGAAGGAAGAGCATTGCTGTTGTACTCGCTCCTCCCTTGTTCTGCCTCCTCAAGACAGCAGATAGCAGATAGCAAGCCGATGAAGCCTTGCCCATTGCGAGATGCGAGATGCGAGTTGCAGGTGCACTCTGCACTCGACTGCCTGGTGGCAGCAGCAATCCGACTTCACTCTAGCTTTGCTTCGCTTCGGTTGCGATTGATGCAATGGCTCAAGGCAACATCCGGTTCATTTATCAATGCGTTTTATATCGTCTTTTGCTCGACGAGAATCTCTGTGTTCCAGTGCCAACCTATTGCCGGACACAATGAACGCATCTGTGGAGCGTCTAACATATACAGGGCCTTTGGACTGTGCTCTAAGCTGCGCTTGACTTTGCCCCTCCACCTCACCTCACCTCAAAAGTACAAGCTGGGCGCAGCAAGAATATCTCTCCTAATCATCACCTGTGCCTCTTCCATCTTTTCCTTCAATTGCCCATCTCCAATAACCCTCGCCGCATCCCTGACCTCCAAACAAGTCTGATCCAACCTTGTCATAACTCTCACAATAGTCCCTTCCGCGACGTCTGTCAGTTGGGTAATCTCCTCAAAGGAAGTCCCCTCGGCCCAGCGGTGCACCACTTCTACCAGTCCAATCTTGAGAGAGGTGGAGTAGTCATTGTAGTTCAACTGATGCTCTGCTTGCACCTGAGATACCCGCTCTGAAGTACTGAGGATGGTAGCTAGTCCCTCCTGCAGCCGCTCAGTCAGCACAGGCTCACTGTCTGATTTCTCCTGGAAGACAAAGACGCTTAGCAGCGCGACGATTTCCGCTGGGGTGTACGTAGCGAAGACGTTGTCGAGTATGAGTTCTGTGAGGACTAGCTCATCGGCAGAGTTGATTTCGCAGGCGACGCGACCTTTGAGAAGGACAGATTCGGTGAGGGGGTCGATGAACCGGAGTGTCTTGAGGACCTCGACGCGCTGCTCGTAGTCTGGGAGGAGCTCAAGATTTTGGTTGGACATGGAGTGCTCGATGCGAGCAATTTCGCGCTCTAGGCCTTTTCGAGCGTGAGTGATCCGATACTGGCGGAGGTGAGAAGAGCGGTAACGTGATCAGCCAAACGTCGGCAGCGTTGTTGGCAGCTGTCAATACTCAAAAGACTCACCTCTTTTGCAAAGTTCTCCCCTTCCTCAATGGGAGCCACAGTCCTTGCTCTGTCATCTCGACTCTTGAGCGACTCTTGGAAGTCAAGCCTCCTCAGTTTGGACCACTCCACCTCCTGACTGCTAGCCGCCCGTTCTCCCGCGGCGCGCAACTCGACTATCGTGCCCTGCATTGCCTCGACGGTCTTGTTCATTGCAGAGATACGATGCGCCATGATCATCGACTGGTCAATCTTGAGCGTGTGCTTCGTCACCAGGGAAAGGCTTTGCAGTGGCACTTCTCGCAGGTCGTACACCAATTCTTCCTCACCTTCGGTGGACATGACAGGGGGCCACCGAGGTGCAACCTGAGAATCGTCTTCAAGGTCGTACTCTCCCTTTTTGCGTCGAGGTGAGACAGCCGCTAGGACGAGAAAGATTCGACTTGCGACTTGCTTGACCAGCACGGCTGGATTGTTGTTGAAGTGCGCATCGCGGAGCAGCACCACTCGCCCAGGTGCAAAAATCTTACTGCCCTGTTGCTGCTCCAGGGCCAGCTCGAGCACACCGTGGAAAGCCACGCCTACAGCTCTGGCCGCGTCATGATAGCGACGCAGCTCCTCTTCGCGCTCGGGAGGCTGGACACGCGGGAGCCTCTCCAGCTTCTTCTTCCTCTCTTCAACCTTTTTCTGCTGATCGGGGAGAAGTCGCTGTGATGCATTCTCGGAAAAGGAGCGCTTGATCATCTCCTCGACTTTGAGCGTCTCGACTCGCAGCAGATTGAGGATCATATTGTAGGTCAGTCTGAATTGGGACTGCAGCTTCGTCGGTTGACCAAGGAGCATTTTGTGTAGAATGGCGGTCTGCAACAGAAAAAAGAGAGGAGGATTGTCAGCATTAGCGGCGAGTGAAGCATACTCAAAGCTTGCGTGCACTCACCTCTGGCAGCTCCTCAGCAGCATTGATGATAACTACTCCAGTCTTATCCAAGCCTCTCCTTCCAGCACGACCACTCATCTGCGTGTATTCACCCGCCAGAAGCTCTCTAAAGGAATGTCCATCGTGTTTCCTGATGCCAGAGAAGACGACGGATCGCGCGGGCATGTTGACACCCATGGCAAAGGTCTCGGTAGCGAAGAGAACCTTGACTAGACCTCGCTGGAAGAGGAGCTCGACGATCTGCACGGGGAGAAAATCGCATGTCAGCATGCGCAGCCATCGAATTCTCAGACTACTCGGGCGAGACTCACTTCCTTGACAATTGGCAGCAGGCCACCATGGTGAACAGCGACACCTCTACCCAGCAACTCCCTCATACGCTGAATCTGCGGCAGCTGTCTGTCACTGCCCTTCAGCCGCATCAAGCTCCTCTCAATGACGATGTGCACCTCGCTCTTCTCCTTGGCAGTGCACAGGTCCGTATTAGGTATACTAGAAGCATACTCTTCGCATCGCCTCTTGGAGAAGACGAAGATCACGACGGGTAGGAGGTCTTTCTTCTTGAGTAGACCTGTGAGGTGGACATAGAGATTCTTTGTGTCGCCTCCCATGGTACGGGCCATACTTGCTGCCCCACCACGTCCTCTCTGAGCTGGTGTCCCACCACGGGCGACCAACCCGCCTCGCTGCACTCCTCCGCCACCTCTGCCACCACGGGCGTTGGATCCTCCTGCGCTACCGCCCCTGGCGCCTTGCCGCACAGGCTGGGCGATCCCTGCAGCTTCCCTCTCCTTGTCTTGCTTACGCTTGAGTGCATCACCAGCCTCCTTGATGCCGGACTCAAGGAATCTCGAAGAGGCGTCGACGACCTTGAAGATGTCCCTGTTGGCATACAAGAAGTGCTCAAGAGGGACTGGACGCTTCGATGTAGAGATGACGTAGATGTCCTTCTTCTTTGTCCTTCCTACCCAGTCGGCAAATTCTCGGGTATTGGGGACTGTCGCACTGAGCAGGATCAAGCTGATATGTTGGGGACAGAGGATGATGACTTCTTCCCAAACCACTCCTCTTTCTTGGTCATTGACGTAGTGCACCTCGTCAAAGATGACAAACTCGACGTCACGGATCAGGTCCGCTCCTCTGTAGAGCATACTTCGCAGAATCTCCGTCGTCATGATCAGACATGGCGCCTCTGGATTGATCTGCACATCTCCAGTCAGAATGCCGACGTTCTCAGCGCCAAACGTGGTCTTGAAGTCTCTGTACTTTTGGTTGCTGAGTGCTTTGATGGGTGAGGTATAGATGCAGCGGGTCATGTGCTTCTGTGCAAGAGCAATGGCGTACTCTGCAACGACTGTCTTTCCCGCCGATGTATGAGCAGCGACGAATACGCTGTCTCCTTGCTCTAGATGGTATACAGCTTCTTGCTGGAAAGGGTCTAATGTAAAAGGGAACTTGTGTGCTGGGTGAGGAATGAGTTGATCGAAATTTGCCAAACGCTTTGAAGAGTCTACTACGTGCGCCCACTCCCTCTTTTCAATGTCTTGCCGGCCCTTGGAGCGAGACGAGGATGCTTCTGCGCCTGTATGCGGCTTATCCGTGGGCAGGAGCTCATCGAGCTCGTTGGTGGCTTCATTGCTTGATGGCGGCTCAGGCGCTCCAGACACCTTGAGGGATGCGGGCTGCTTGAGGGATGGCTGGTACACGGGCGCGGCAACTAGGCCCTTGGAAGCATCATCGTCCATGAGATCTGCCTCATCCTCTTCGTCCTCTTCGCCTTGACCAGGAGCCCTGAAGCCGCGTTCGAAGCCTGGAGGGATGGTGCGCAACCCCCTGCCCCAATCCTTGATGGCTGCCTCGACCTGCTTCACCTCAGCTTCCACTCCATCGACCTCGCCTTCTGGCTCTAGAGCGAGATCATCATCGTCCAGACCACCGGGCATGAACATGGTCCCTCCACTGCGCCCACGTACAAAGCTCATGCCCTTGCGCTGTGTAGCTGCGAGCTTACGTAGCTCGAGCTGCGTCTTCCTGGCTACAGCAGAGGACGAGGCGGGCTGATGGGTGACCACCTCCTGTGAGCCAATGATGTGACCATCTAGACCAGCACGGATAAAGCGTAGCGATGTTGTTTGCGGAAGGGGGTCGGATGGTAGCAGCGACTTGAGGTCCGGAGTGCGACGCCAATGACTGCGAGGTAAGGTGAGGTCAGGCGAGGCGGCGTAGGTGAGCCAGAAGGCGTGCGAGGAGTGCGAGGATGTTCCCTTCTGAGGGACTTGGTTGGTCTACTCACACTTGCAGCTCATCAAGCCCAGGCTGTTCTATCCGATTGTGCGTGGCGGTGAATCTCTTCTGTAGCATCTCCTTGATCTCATTGCGGCTATACCTGCTGCCCACCAGCTCGCTCGAGGGAGCCAGCCTGAGCTCTTTGAGTTGAGCCTGCAACCGGGCGAGGCGATCATGGTGAGGCTTGGAAGAGGAAGAGGAGGAAGCCATGAGCGCCTGGCGTGGCAGACGTCACTGAGAAGAAGAAAGGATGACGAGGAGTGAACAGAGGTACGACGAGGGAAGCAACGACGAGCATCAGCCATCGGAAAGGAAGAAGCCAAGCGTCGAGCGGGAGTGGAGCGGCGCAAGTTGAGCCGAGGCGCATGATGGTCGTGGTTCCGTTCCGAGTTGCGTGTGTGTGCGTGTGTGTGTCCGTCAGCTGATCCACCACGACGCGGGGGCGTGTGCGTGCGTGTGTGTGTGTTGTGTGCGGATGGCGCGCTTCCGTTCCTCCTTTTGGAACCAAGACGCTGCCGGAAGCCACGACCCATCATTCCATCACCATCACCGATACCATCACCATCATCGTCTCCTCATCTCCCCCTCTTTCCCTCATCCCCATCTCACCACCATGCCGCCTCGAGCGGCCACAGGGCGATCTCGCACAGCCGTGGCCTCATCATCGCGTGCAAAGGCATCCACCAGTGCACCTCGAGGTCGACCTCGCAAACAGCCAACCACGACCCACGCGAAGGCATTCCTCCAGGACGACGACGATGATGATGAGAGCGCGCAAAGCGATGCAGATGATATCGGACGTGATGACAACAGGACACGGCACGATGGCAGTCAGAGCATCACGGGCCCCATCTTGATGGACGACGATGAGGAGGATGAGCTCGGTCTCCGCTCCCCAGTCAAGATCGTCGAGGCGCCGACAGTCAAGACCAACAGGGTGGGAGGAGGAGCCGCAACTGCAAAGGGCAAGGCGGTCTTCGGTACAGCCAGAGGAGTCAACACACAGTCTACTCATGACCACTCTGACGAGGGGGACGATACAGAGGATGTCACTGCCTCGAAGCGATCCTCGCGGCAGCCAAAGACCAAGGCGGTCCGCGTGGGCAGGAAACCAAACAACACCGCTGCCCACCCACGCGTCAAGGCGCTCGCGGCCTCGTCAAAAGCGAGGAAACCAGCAGCATTGGTCGATTCGAGTGATGAAGAGGAAGATGTGCAGGAGGTTGATACAGAGGTCGAAGAGGTAGAGACGACACCGCGGTCTGCTGAGGGGGTGAGCATGCCAGAGGAGCAGATACAACACTTTCTGCATGGATACGATTTGGATGGTGAGTCTACGTGCCACGATCGCGTGCAAGGAGAGGTGGCAGCTGACTTGACAATCTCTGTCCACTAATACAGCTGCCAACCGTCTGGATCGTTTGCGGAACCACCTCACCGTCACCCTCGAATCGGCTCGATCTCAAATGTCCATCCTCCTCTCACGGTTGCCAATGGCCGCTCGATCCCTCACTCTCACCGACTTCCTCGAGCTTCACGAGTCGGACGTCAAGAAGGTCGTCGGCGGAGGCGTGGACACATTGGCGGGTAGCCAGGTGGATGATGCGGATGGGTGGGAGGAGATGAAGCGGAAGCGGCCTAGGGCGAAGGAGCAAGGTGAAGAGGATGGGAACAAGGACAAGGGCAAGCGAGGCAAGACTGGTGAGTAGCGGCTCGAAGTGACTGAGTATGTAGACAGGGTTTTGGCTGACGCATATCGGACCTTTGACCTCCCTTTGCCGCTCTGTCAGCTCGGCGCAATGCAGCAATCAGCTCACCGGCCAAGCCCTCGTCAGCGACGCGCCAACCTTCGAATCGAGCAGCAGAAAAGAAGGCAGGTCCATCCTCCAGTCGTCCACTCGCAAGCAGCGGCCCCCCAGCTCCCTCCTCTGCTACCTTCTCACCTCGCCTCAATCCCGCTACACGTACCATGCCAGCGCCATCCGCTGCTACGAAGACGCCTGCTCGCGCTCCCGCTGCAGCTGGACGTGCTTCGCGATTGGCCAAGATTGGTGAACAGATCCAGATGTACAGCTTGAATGGCAGTCCCATTACGGGCTTCATCGGCCCAGATGGTAGACTGCGCTACCTCCCCAGACCTGGAGCAGACTATGCTGATCAGGACGAGGATGCAGCAGCTGCCGATGCTGCTCCTGCCCTGCCGCCCATCAGCAAGTCGACAGATGGCAAGAGCGGCGCTAATGAGAGCGCAAAGAATTTGCAAGCTGCGAATGTCCTAGCCAGCATCCTACCCAAGCAAGGCGAGCCATCTTCTTCCCGAGCTCTGCCCTCCTCTCCTGCTCCACAACGCTCTGCTCCGTTTGGTTCGTCACTGGGAGCTACCAGCAGCCTCCAACCCCGCTTCGACGACGATTCCTCTGCTGCTCTCCAAAGCAGCAGTCCGCTCCGCCCATCCTCACGAGTAGGAGCCCACTTTTCTTCCTCGCTTGGCATGGGTCTCGGCTTAGCAGATGAGAGCAACGAGCTGCCCGACGAAGAAGCCTACATGAGGGAAATCATCGCCCAAGAGGAGCAGAAGCGTCGCGAAGCGGCTGGGAGGAGCGCAACGCTGCAGCACAAGAGCTCTGCTTCGCGACTCATGGCCAAGTTTGGTGCTGGAGGCGGGGGCGGCAGTGGGTCTTCCAATGGGGGTATGAGCTCTAGACCACCTTCTTCGCCTGCACCTGCTTCCTCTTCTTCTTCTTACTCTGCCAGATCGGGCGGTGGATTCAGGTCTTCCTCGCCCTCCAAGGCTGCGCCAATCTCTCGCGGCGGTGCTTCGCTCATGAAGCCTGTCTCGTCGAGCAAGAATTCCACTACTGCTGCTGCTGCTGCTGCTCCTTCTGGCGGTACTGCTGCTGCGTCATCCAAGGGTGCGTCTTCTTCGGCCTCGGGCAGGGGAGGGAAGCAGCGTCTTTCCCTTATCAATGCACGCGGAGAAGTGGTGCCCATTGAGGATATTCGAGAGGAGGACGTGCCGGTGGAGCAGAAGGCCCAGCTGGCGCGGATGTTCCAGCGCTTGGGAATGGGATTGGGAATTGGAGGAAGCCCAAAGAAGAGGTGAAACCCACCACTGGAGGCTCATCTTGATCATTCTGCTGCTGAGTGCTAGCTTGTATCGTTTTGTTCCCTGATTGTCCGTCTGTCTGTCTGTCTACTCGTACGCATACACTGTCTACTTCGCATACCCCTGGCGACGATGTACCTCCACTCTATCCACACATATACATCGAGCCATCTACCACACGACCACATCATGTGCTGTCTTTTCAGTCCACTGCTTGAATTTTGCATCGGCATCGCTTCTATTGTGACCGTTTACTTGTGTTTCTAGTCTAGAGTACAATGCGGGGGTCGCCTAGTCTGTGCGGATGCGGAAGAAATGTGGAGGGAAAGAGAACGCATCTCGCTCAGACAAGCGTGGCCGTGGCCGTGGGCGTGGCGTGCATCGATCGTCTGCCGTTGCCGTGATTCCCATGCGGGGCTTGTTGGTGCATTCTTCTAGACGTCTGGCAATAGACTAGACTTGGGCTTATAGGCTTACTCAGAGGTAGACTAGACAGCACCAAGCTTGCGGACTGGTACAGGACCGAGAGAGCAAGTAAGCGAGTCCTACCACACTCTCTTCCCGTTCTCACCTCCTCCTCCTCCTCCTCCTATCCACCATGACCCGCACTACCGCCCACGAAGACCCCCCGGGCCCACCCGAAGGCACCGGTCCCCTCCGCATCGGCGCCTACCATCGTCCCACTGTGGGTGAAGCAGAGCAGAGCTGGTCTGAGCTGGTAGAAGTCATTGAACGTGGGAACATGGCTGATCTCAAACGTCATGCTAGTACCGAAGAAGAGTATGGTGCCTGGAGTGGACCGATCAAGGAAGCTTATGGTGGACTGGAGGAGTATATTCGTCAAGTACGTTTAGGGTGGGGGAAACCAGATGGCAAGGAAAAGGAAGTTCCTGGACAGGAGTACTTTAGGGGTGAATGGGTGAATGATTCTCCACAACGACATAGAGCAAAGTGTATTCCGAATGACTGGCCGTATGCCGTGCCAGAGGATTGTGGACACTTTGTCGTCTGGTCCATCTCCCCCATGCTCCACGAGGGGCTTTTTCAGACGGAGGATACGCCTTTTGAAGAGGATCAGCGGAAGGCAATCTACGATGCTGTATGCCACGATGGAGTTCGGGGACGTACTGGCGCGCCTAGCAGAGTAGTGGGACAAGAGACGATCAAGGCTCTTCAGAGTAAAAAGGAGGTCAAGACGAGGGATACACATCCGCCAGCGGAGAGACAGAATGGACACAAGGAGGAAGAGGAGGATGATATCCATCATGAGACGATCGAATCGCTGGCTATGAGGGCACAGGCTTGGGCTGGGAGAGAAGTCAATGCCTATGTAGAAGCAAAGTGGCCAGAAGATCAGTGGGAGACGGTGAGTAGCCGCTAAGGGGAGAAGCAGGAGCAAGGATCTTCGTTACAGCTGGAGACTGATTCAGATGCATCTCCCGCTTCTTCCCTTCCAGGCCTGGTTCTGCAACCCACCTCATCTCAGGACTGTCCCAGGACTATCACATTTTCAGTGAGTTGACAGGAGTGCTAGCCGCTTTTGGCGCAAAGGAATTGCTGACCGGAGCTCCCTCTCCTCTCGCTTCCTTTGCTTTCTTGTTCCCAGTGTCCTTGCCCGCAGAAAGGTCAGCGACCCCGACAATCCGAGCGACCCATGAGCTCTCCTGCAGACACCAAGTAAGATATAGACGCAGACTGCCAGATAGACCTTCTTGTACCACACCTATGACCATCTAGACTCATTGCTTTTCAGATCATGCTTGCGCTAATACCCTCTGAAGGGAGACCATCCGCCCTGTCATTCCTTGATCAGTCTCGTCCGGCCGGTAATAGAATGTACGACTTTGTAGATAGATGAGAGTCAAGATCTTTCGGTCTCTTGCGATTCGACTGGTCTCTCTGAAAAGGGCGTCTGAAGGTGATGCACTAAGTGACGAGGTCATCGGCCGGTGAGCATGACACCGTGCTTCGAGCTGCAAGGCATCGCCCTTAACGGGCAGAAGCCACGGCGCCCATGACGCCCTTGTCGTAGAAAGCGAATTAGTTTGCTCCGCTGAGCGTTGCTCCTCTTCTGTCTCTTCCATCTCTCTATCTCGCCCCGCACCTAGCTACGAGTCTCGCCTGTTCCATCGCGCCCAGCACTAGCTGCACCGAAGACGAGGTGTGGATCGCTGTTGCGTGCCAGCTCTGCGCCTCCCTGAGCCTCGATCTGTTCTTGTATCCGTGCGAGAAGTGAATTCTGCCGGGCTCTGTCAGGAAGCGAGCGGTAGTAAGAGAGGAGGCAGAGAAGGCCGCGAGAGGTAGGAGTGAGACTCGGTAAGCTTTTCCGGCTCAGAGAGGCAGAGCAACTCACATCACCTCTTCATTCTCCCTCCTGACCTCCTCAAACATCTTCTCTTCCTCCTTTGTCGGTCTCTCTCCCTCCCCTGCTCTAGCTACCTCTCCTACTTCTCCTTCTGCCCCGCCTTGTACAAATTCCTGCAGAGCAGCATTGCTCTCCTCGAGCTTCAGGATGCTGTTCTGCAGTCGCTCCGCCTCGAGGAGGAGAGTCGAGGGCTCCAACGAGCAGAGCGCCTCGTCGCTCACATCTGCCGAGGTGCTGGGCAGGGGTGGGAGGAGGAGAGGCATCGAGAGTGGAGAAGAGGTGTCAGATGGCAGGACAGTCAGAAGGGGTTAATCGTACAAGAGGAAGTGGAAAGAGGGAGACGCGTAGCGGAAGTGGAGACGGAAAGGAAGCCCTACGGCCGAGAGGACCCGGGAGCAATACGAGGCAAGAACGGCATTGCTAGCGGGTGACACGGAGCGAGGCGAGATCTACAACTAAGTCTACATAGCGAGGGCTCAGACCGGTGACAGATAACGATGCAAGACCAGGTGACGATAGTGGGATCCACAGCCCCTCAGAAGGAGAAGCGGAGTAGCTGTGGGTTGAGGAGGAGATGATAGAGGATGTGCCCCGGGTAGAGGACAAAGAGGGGCCAGAAGACAAAGAAGCCTCCATGCGCCTGCCACTCGATGGGCAACAGGTCACTCAGGAGTACACCCGACCCAGCGATGATGATGGTGCACAACAGTAGCATCACCCAATTGCGCCGGCAGATCGCAGGGAGCTCTCTAAAGAAGTGAGAATCTTCGAGGCTCTTCAGAGTGGAGCCCCACGTCATATTATACGAGAAGAGGTGTGCCAGGAGTGCCGTCATCACGTGATAGGAGATGCCATTGAAGAACAGCAGCATAAAGAACAACCAGGTGACGTGTTCTTTGACGCTCTCGAAGAACCCGTGCGTTCTGGCGCGATACTTGGCAACGATGTATGATAGATTGCCCAAGCCGGAGAAGACAATGATGACGCTCACCCATACTTGAAAGGGCCGAATAAATGCTTGATCGAGTACGGGCGCAAACCATGACTGGACGATGATCAGCCCTGCCGTCAAGGGAAAGGCGCAAGCGATACCATAGTAGGAGAACATGTACGAGGCGCTGGCGAATTTGGCATGAGTTGGGATCTCCTTGACCCACATGTATTTGCGGAAGAGGGGTGTGAAAGGACCCTTGTATAACCACTTGTGTATAGGATTGAAAAGGAGCTCTGAGACCCCAAACGCATACTTTTGCCATCTATTGAGCTCGTCTTGAGCGGTAAGGGAGACTCCCTCAAGGAAGGCACTGTTCGAGTACGTGGCCCAGCGGGTAATGTAGCCTGCTATGAGGAGCCTCATCGACATTTCGAAGTCTTCAGACACTGTCCACTCGGCCCAAATCTTCTTCACCCCATCGTCAGGGTCTGCAGCTGCGGTCTCTTGCAGAGCAGACCATCTGAGAAAAGCATTGTGGCCCATGAAAGGAGCAGTGTCCCCGTTTGCGACGCAGTAGGAGATGGAGAGGTTTACATTGCGCGTAAAGAAGCCGATTCCCTGCTCAAAGTAGTTGTTGCGCTCGCTTGCGAACATGACGCCAGAGCAGTGCTGCAAAATTGCCACTTCGGGGCACTGCGACATCTCTGAAGCAGCGTCAAGAAAGCAGTCTTGCGGAACTCGAGTGTCGCAATCAATCAGTAGGATCAGTTCGCCGATCCGAATGTTGCCCGAGGCTTCTGCCAGTGGATGTGCCTGTGCCAATGCTTCCTCTAGACATGCTTCGTAGAGTGCATTTTCCTTAGCTAGTGACCAGTCCGAGAAGGAGGTATTCGGGCGTTTATCAGCCATGAGCCTCTCGACGGCGAGAGAAAGAGAGCAAGTAAAGTTGAGATTGGACGCTTTCTTGAACCTGCCTCGTCTTTCAAAACCATCCACGTTATGTCCGGGGCGAGCAACCCAAGCAATGTGGTGAAGGTCGTAGAATTCGAGTCTCTTGCTTCTCTCTTTATCGTCGACAAGAAGGAGGCCATCTTCAGAGACTAGAATGGAGGCGGTGCCCCCCTGAAGCTCGTACGTTTGGATGGCTCTGTTCACTGACTCGATAGTGGGGGCGAGTACAGTCTTGAGTGGCTCCTTGTACACTGGGATTTGAATGGTGATGTGAGGTAGAGCGGTGGTCATCCTTTTGGGCGCCACACTAGAGTAATATTTTGTGTTGACGTTCATCTGTCTGACAGGGCCGACGAGCATGCAGAGTCCTGTCAGGATGCTGTCCGAGAGGAACAAGACGACGACGAAGATGGCAGGCACCACGACGGCAATGCTCCATCTGAGATAGGTCCCGTCGGTCGCAGTCTGGCTGGCAAGCGCACGCAAGGTGAGGGAGCAAATGACCAAGTCCATAGCGATGGCCAGACCATGGAGAACAGGCGCGATCATCACCGTGCTTCGCTCCTGATGCGTCTCGAGAGCCTCAGGATCGTCCATGCCCTTTTCGTCGCTTACTTTGCTGGTGACGAGTTTCTCGCCTCCGGGGCCTAGGCGCACGCCTTCTATCCGACCCAGGGAGCTCCAATCGGACTCAAGCACAGTGGAGATGCTGACATTGAACCCGTCCTGTGGCGGCAAGGGCGAAGGGGCAGTAGCTCTTTGCCAGATATACTGCACCATCTTGGCCTCGACTTCCTTGGCTGCCGCCATGAGCTCTTCTACTTTGTCTGCCCAAACAATCAGTCGGCCTTCACTGCGGACCACAGCAGCACCTTGAGCTTTTTTCGCGTCGTGCAAATGTGCCATTGTCTCGACGACTTGGATACGGTTTTCAGCAGAGAGAGCAAGCTCTTCAGCGTCGTCGGAGAGGGATGAGATAATGGCGTTGATGACATTGGATGTTATCGTTACAGACGCCTGGTCGAGAGCAAGGTGAGGTAGAATGAGCTATAGCGAACACCGCGACAATTCAATGGCCATAGACAGCACTTACGGTGACTTTGAGCGTCGCCAACGCTGCGATCCAAGGCCGCAGACGTGCATCGTCCTGGGGACAAGAGACATATCTTCCTTTTGCAAATCGCAGGGCGACTCCGTTCCACACTTCAGGAGCGTCAGAGAAGAATCGCTCCTTGTCAGCAAAGCGGTATAGCGCCTCTGCCATAATCTCGTGGGCCGTCTCTCGTTGGGAGGTAGCCAGGTTCCCCTTGCTGCAGAAGCTTGAATTGAGACTGTTGGAAGACTCGTCGCGCCGGTCTCCGTATGAGAGTGCCCACATGGTGCCTACGCCTGGACCAGAAGATTTTGTTGGCGTTTCAGGACCAGCCGGATGTGTTGGTGTGTCAGGCCCTGAGGAGTCTCCTGGTGTATCAGGACTAGACGATTGCCCTGGTGTATAAGGACTGGATGATTGTCTCGGTACGTATGGAAGAGATCTCCGTGGTGTGTATGGACTGGACTTTTGTGCTGGCGTGTACGAGCTAGGTGCTGGAGTCGGGGGGCCATACCTCAGGGTCGTTGGCGTGTAAGGAGCGTATGTCCGGTTCAGTGGTGTCTGAGGGTCTTGAGGGCGAGTTGATGGTGTGTGAGGGCCTTGGAAACGAGCCGGTGGTGTCTGTGGTCGTCGAGGTCGAGCGGGCGGCGTCTGAGGTGCGTCCGGTCGAAGTGGCCTCGCGGGTATATATGCTCGAGCTGGAGACGCAGGCCCATCTCGCTGGGCGACGTGCGTGCCAAAGTAGTCATTCTTGTTGTCAACGCTCTGTGACAGCTGGTTCGCATGTGGACGAGAGAAGTTGGGCATCGGGGTCATCGTGATCGCGACTGATCAACAAGGAACGAGCTGCAGCGTCGAGCTACGCGTGACGCGGAGGCACAGGCGAAGGATGATCCGCGCTACTTTCGTAGGGCCAGCCGAATGGAATGGGGTCAGGATATGGTGTGGATTGCGGGGCAAGACGAGCCCCTACCGAACCAATCGTTGCTTTAACGAGGTGTCGCATTGCGCTGCTACTGCCGTGCGACCCGAGTCGCCTCTTGGGGACCACGATCTTCTGGCCTTCCTCTTCAGAAGTCCCCTGCACTTCTGCCGATCGGCAGTTGCTGGTGAGTTCTCTGAGGACCGCGTGAGGTAGCCCAACCCACGGCGGTCTTTCTTCTCTACCCTATCTCCCAGAACTCAGAATTCGTCGGCCCTTTGCCTAGCCCATGGAACCCGAAGGTATTTCGTTCCTCCGGCGATGATCCGCCAACGCGACACGTTCTCCTCCGGTCGCGAAGCAGCACGCGGGCCCGAGACGACCAGTCCGACGCTCAAGGGGCATAGCCAGCCGACTCCGGTGCAAGGGTGTGGTAAAGGTTCGCATACTGAAGGCCGAGCGCCGTGTGCCATTCGCAGGACCCGTACTCTTGCGTGAACCTTACTTGTTGCGGCCGTATCTCCAAGAGCAATGCACAGCGGGGGTGAGTTGAGTGCGAGCCAGAAGGCCGGTGCGCCGACACGTGGTTTGCAAGTCCGCCTCGGCTGGGCAGCGGTGCAAACAAATTCGTTCCACTGTGCTTCTCCTTGCAGGCCAGGGGGTCAAGCCCTGACAGAGAACGGGCGAAGCGAGCTTCACCTGGGCGGCTACTCCTTCCTTTCCTGGCCATATTCTGTAGCTCAAGGATGTCCTAAGAAAGGATCGGCAGGCGTCCTGCCCCTTGTCATGCTCTGCAAATCCGTGCTTGCGGGACCCCGGCGGAACGCGGGACAGACAAGCTCTGCGCCACGCTGATTAGGTCAATCTCGTGCAGGCTGATAAGCGTAGCGTGCTCGACTGGACCAGACTTCTTACCGGTCCCACGTTCGTGATCCTTCCCGCCCCTGAGCATCGAGCAGCGGTGGGCCCCCTCGGATTCACACGTACTGGGCGGAGATTGACGGGGAAGCTCTAGAGGCTTTCGAAGACGCCAGAAGGGTACGAAAGAGGCAAGAGTGGTCAGCCGCGACGTAGAGCAGTGCCGATGCCTCGAGGGACGGCAGTCAGTGTTCTCAGACAAGTGCTACCGTGCCAACCCGAAACCGATCCTGCACTATTAGCTTCAGGGAAGTGTTCAAGGACAGTGACACAGTACAGACGATGCGAGAAGGTTGCTCAAAGTGACTCATTACCCAGGAAGACAATAGTGCTGACGTAGTACAACGTGACCCGGAATGCCACGAACAAACTCTATGGGGAAGCGGAAAACATGGATGCGGTGACTATATATAATACAAGAGGGTCGTCTTAATCTATTGTGCTTAGATTAGAAGGAGAATCGCAGAAGCTGAGGGTTGAGGACCATGTGGTAGAGAATGTGTCCCGAAGCGATTAGGACCATTGGCCAGTAGACGAAGAAGCCTCCGTGGCCCTGCCACTCGATTGGCAGAACGTCTGTGAAGATGACACCGGTGCCGCCAAGGATGAGCACACTGATGAGGAGCATGCCCCAGTTCTTCTTGAAGATGGCGGGAATCTCTCGGAAGAAGTTCGAGTCCTCGAGATCCTTGATCGTTGAGCCCCAGGTCATGTTGTACGACACGAGGTGGGCCACAAGAGCGGTGGAGACGTGGTAGGAGAGACCACTGAAGAAGACGAGCATGAAGAAGAGCCAAGCGACGTGCTCCTTCAAGCTGGTGATGAAGCTGATTCCTCGCGCTCGGTATTTGGAAATCATGTAGGAAAGATTACCCAGACCAGAGAAGACGACGATGACGGCAATCCAGACCCTGAATGGCTGCAAGAAGGCATGATCCAGCGTTGGGGCAGACCAGGCTTGTAGCAGGACGAGAGTGACGGTAAGAGGCAAAGCGACTGCGATGGCGTAGTACGAGAACATGTAGGAGATGCTTCCGAATTTGGCGTGGGTAGGAATCTGGCTGGCCCAGACGTACTTCCTGAAGAGACCGGTGATGGGTCCTCGGCGGAACCACTTGTACAAGGGGTGGAGGAGAAGCTCAGACACACCAAAGGCGTACTTCTGCCATCGGTTGAGTTCGTCCTGGGCCGTGAGCGACACACCCTCGAGGAACTCGTTGTTCGAGTAGGTAGCCCATCGGGTGATGTAACCAGCCATCAGCAATCGCATCGAGATCTCAAAGTCCTCCGAGACGGTCCATTCAGCCCAGATGGTCTTGACACCGGTGTCTGGGTCAGGTGCGGCGACTTCCTGCATCGCGGACCACCTCAGGAAGGCATTGTGACCCATGAAGGGGGCAGTGTCACCGTTCGCAACGCAGTACGAGATCGAGAAGTTTACGTTGCGCGTAAAGAAGCCTATGCCCCTTTCGAAGTAGTTGTTCTCAGTGACCAGCATGACGCCGGAGCAGTGCTGCAGGATGGCGACTTCGGGGCACTGGGTCATTTCGGAGGCGGCATCGAGGAAGCAGTCCTCGGGGACACGGGTGTCACAGTCGATGAGCAGGACGAGCTCGCCAATGCGGATGTTGCCAGAGGCTCGGGCCAGAGGGTGAGCCTGGGCGAGGGCCTCGGCGAGAGCCTCGTCGTAGAGTGCGCACTCATCGGCGTAGGACCAGTTGTCAAGCTCCTCTCCGGAGGTGGGTCGACGTTCGGCAAGAATCTTCTCAACAGCAAGAGAGACGGCACAAGTGAAGTTGAGGTTAGAGGCCTTCTTGAATCGACCCCTTCGCTCGAAGCCGTCGACGTTGTGTCCAGGGCGAGCGACCCAGGCGACGTGGTGCAGGTCGTAGAAGTCCAGGCGCTTGTTGCGCTCCTCTTCGTCGACGAGGAGAAGACCGTCCTCGGACACGAGAATGGAAGCAGATCCTCCCTGGAGCTCGTATGTCTGGATAGCCTTGTTGAGGGATTCAATGGTGGGAGCCAAGACGGTCTCGAGAGACTCCTTGTACACGGGCATCTGGATGGTAACGTGAGGAAGCGCGCCTCGCATGCGCTCGGGCGCAACGCTTGAGTAATACCTGGAGTTGACATTCATCTGTCTGATAGGACCGAAAAGCATGCAAAGGCTACCAACGATGTTGTCGGCGAAGAAGAGGATGACGATGAAGAGACCGGGAATGCAAGCAGCAATGGCCAATCGAAGGTAGGTTCCATCAACGGCAGTTTGAATGATCAACTGACGAAGAACGAGCGAGCAGAGGAGCATGTCTAGCGCAATGGCCAAGCCGTGCAAGACTGATGCAATGACGACGGTGTCGCGCTCCTGGTGGGTCTCGAGAGCTTCGACGTCTCCGCTCTTCTCGTTGAAGACCTTAGTGGTGACAAGTCTCTCGCCGCCTTTTGCGGTTCGTACGCCCTCTTCGGGGACTTTGGCAAAGTCACCGCGAGTGACGGCGCCGTCGGCTCCGATGGCAGCCGCGGGAAGGACGGTGCCGGTGGCCTGCTGCCAGACGTATCGTACCATCTTGGACTCGATCTCCTTGGCGACGGTCATCAACTCCTCGACCTTGTCGGTCCAAACGAGCAGGCGACCCTCTGTTCGGACAAAGGCAGCACCTTGAGCCTTCTTGGCGTTGGCCAGCTCCTCGATGTTGTCGAGGACCTGGATACGGTCCTCGGGAGTGAGAGCGACCTCTTCGGCATTCTCCGAGAGACCAGAGAGGATACCAGCGACGACTGTCGAGGTGAGAGTGACGGTGGCCTGATAGTCGCGACGTGTGTGAAGGTAGTGTGTCAGTTTGCGTGGCGCGTCGCAAGGTAGTGCAGAGCTCAGGATTTACTCACGGTGACATTGAGGATGGCCAAAGCCTGGACCCAGGGCTGGAGTCGGGGGTCGTGTTGTGGTGCACAGACGAAGCTGCCCTTTGCCAGCCTCAAAGCCACACCGTTCCAGACCATTGGGTTGTCGGAGAAGAGCCTCTCGCGCTGAGCGTAGCGGAAGAGGGTCTCGGCCATGATCTCGTATGCGTTCTGGCGTTGCATGTAGGAGAGCTCGCTGTCCTGAGACGAGCTGGAGCCCATGCCGTTGACAGAGCCAGGTGTGGAGCCGAAGGTGGGGTAGTAGCCGTCGGCGTGGGCAGAGCCGACGCCAGGTGTGGCCATGCCAGGTGTTTGGGCGCCGTTCTGGAGGGCGCCGACCTTCTCATTCTCGGTTTCTTCCACCTTTCCAGGGCGGAACTTCTTGAGGAGACGGCTCATGATGATGGTGGTGGTGATGAGTGACAGGCAGTCGTGAGATTAGGGGCGATGGAGGGGGAGTCGACGGATGGAGGAAGGTAGGAAGGAATGCAGTGACTAGGGCGAACGGGCTCTAGGATGAGCTGTCAAGCTCGAGGGAGGAGGGAGGAGAGAGTTGCTGATGAGGAGGGGGAGAGGGCTGGCCATGGATCCCTTCCTACTTGACCTTATATGAGCGTGTCAGGTTACACCCAATCCCATCCTACCGTGGAAAGGCCAAGGATGGCCTACTTCCTCTCCGGGCCAAGATCGTGCATTGGTGAATCTCCGCTTGCCCTGCCCTGTGAGTCCACCACGGCACAAACAAACAGGGAGGCGCAGGCAAATGAGTTTTTTGCCAGAGACATCACCCTTCGATGATCGAGCTGCATGGCTATCGCCGTGGTGGTCTGAGGTGAGTCCCCACGGGATGGGAGAGATGCAGCCGCCCCTTCCGTGCGGAACCCCGTCTGGGCAGGACAAGCAGATTGATGTGCAGTGAAGCCCGTCCAGGGATGAGACTGTACCGTGTAGATGCCCTTAATTGGTGTCTGGCGGGCGTCTGGCCCCTGCTACACCTCGTTTCCATGGGTGCTGTCAATTTCGGTAGGGCGTGCCATGCGTGGGATGAGACTGTCACAGGCAATTAAAACTTCTCGCCTCGGGCTCCTGTGCCGGCAGCGGGCCAGTCTCACCTGCAAACCATTCGAGTCCGCCCCAGTGATTGCATAGAAGCCCTGTACGCCGGGACGCGACTTGCCGCGTTGCCGCAATATATGCAGTCGTACAGCAATCTGCGACCAATTTAACCGTGCAATTGGTTGGAGGATGTCTCATCGACCGTCTGCACTCGCCTGCAGGAGTACCACAAACGCCACCCCCTTCGCTCCGACGTCCGGACGTCTGTCGGTTCACATCCGTCTGGACGTTTCATCTCCGACACACCCAGCTTGAGTCCGAGGCACTGGGACAGTGTAGGCTGACCCGGGTTGGCCGGGTTGGAACCAAGGTCCGCCCGCATGGAATCCCGCTGCAGCTCCGCTCTTCCGCCTCTCCGAAGCTGCGACCCCCCCTGGGCCTAATTTGAGATTGTCTCCAATTTGTTTCAGGACCCTCAATGAGTGGAGGGTGACGGTCCAAGATGCCGTCGCACAGTAGGCTAGATCTGGCAACTACCTGCCTGGTCGGGCATGCGTACGCAGAGTACACTGCCTGCTGCTGTTAATTTTGTCTGCCTGCGTCCCTCTGGAAGCATCCCTTACTGGAAATGCAGACGCTTCGATAGACAAATTTTCGCATGGAAAGGTGGCCAGCCTCTATCTCCAGCTAATTCTCCGTCCATGATTTCCATTTGGTAAGGTAAGGCTTCTAGCAGGCCCTACTTCACGCCTCCTTGCATCGCTAGGATGTGGTCTCTCTTCGGCCCGCTGCTGTCTCGCTTGGGCAACACGGCGACACAGGAAGCGAGTTTCTTGGCCCTGCGAAGGCCTGTCGCTGCTGGAGCCGATCGTGGTGCAAAGATTTGTCCTACACCCTTGACGACTGCTACCTCGTGCTCCGTAAACCGACACCGGCAACTCTGATCTAAGCAGAATCGTTGATCGAGCGACGATCAGTCCCGCGGCTCCGTCGAACTCTCACAGAGGATGCTGAAAATTGCCCTGCCTGATCGATCGGACCTCATCGCCACTAATTGGTTTCCATCTGATTTTCCCACAGTTCCTCTTGCTCTTCACCGAAGGCGCTTCTCTCGGTGACGTTATAGTGCCGCTGATGAAGGTGGTGCTCGAAAATACCTGGATAGGGTCTGAGTTTCTGAGGCTGGGCCTGAGCTATGCCCGTCGTCTTATCTCTACTAATTGCTGCTGCCACAATCACCATCCTTGGTCACCCTGCGTCGAATTCCGCTCCGCGCCTTCACCAAGTGCTGAGAAGACGTCCCGGGTTGAGAAACCCTATATGTCTCCTCAAGGGTGTGGGTCCGTCGAATCGATTAGTTCCAGGTGAGGGTTATCTGTACGGAAAGCATGTACCACACATCAAAATCAAACTGCGTTCCGCTACCAGCGCGCTGAGCCAATCAAAGCTTGGCCTTCTGGAAACTTTCCAGCCTCGATCGCTTTCATCCTTGGCAGGTCACTTGTTGGGGAACGCCAAGGCGATTCCGGCAGGAGCGGCCGCTCGTCCTGGTAGAACCCCATCATGAGCTGGTAGCGGAAGCGCACAGTCCAGAAGGCGAGGCGTGAGGCACTCTGGATTGGCTTCGATGGGAAGAAGACGATGACATTTGCCCACGGCAAGGTATGCATGCAGACATGAGAGATCTAGAGCAGTAGAAGAGTGTATGCAGTTCCGACGCTCCCGCCGGCTTGAGCTCAGCACTGAGACTTAGATGAATAGTCTGATCAGCTCGAAGATGACTGTCAATCGAAAGGTTCCAGTGGAATGGATCAGCTCTCCGTTCCGCTTTCGCTCCACATCTGCGACGAGGACTCACTTCCACCTCCTAGCAGTAGGATGAATGCCCAGACCACCCAGGGAGCTACTGCTGGCTTCTTGTCTAGCTGCGCCCTCTCGGCAAATGATGGCCGCGGCTTCGTCTTGCCCTGTCTTGCTGCCTCTGCGTTGCGAGCATTCTTGGCCTTGATCTTTCCGCTGGTGGACTGTAGTGGACGCGCAAGGAGAAGAGAGACGGAAGCGCGTCAGAAGGGCTCAGAGGATATCCGTGGGGTTCTCGCGGCGGCTAGTCTGGCATCGGAAGTGTTTGCGATGCCCAGAAGCATCATCTGATTCCTTCGAAGCGTCTATCGCCGCTCTTACACTTCCAAAGCTGTAGCCTTGCGTCAAAGTCCTGCCAAAGTGCGGCTGACGCCCTTCTTCCCTATCTGCTGTGCTTCGAACCGTAATCGCAGCAAGACTAACCATGATGGGAAGGTATGTAGGTGGTCTAGATGAAGCAAAAGTGATGCAGTAGCGAATGGACTCTACTTCGGATGTGTAGCTTGCTGATGTGTTGAAGGCTGGCGAGGATCACTGTTGTGGACGTTGCTACGAGGTGAAAGAGCTGCCGAGATTGCTCTGACTCGTATCCGATCCGGTTGGATGGCAATAGGTGATAGATGTCGAGGTATGCGCGAGGTGTCTGCTGACTGCTACTAGCTATTGCTGATGCTGATACTGCCTATGGCGATACTATAAGAAGAAGAACTAGTAGTGGTACGATGTCTGGTCTACGTGGAAGGGAGGAGGAAAGAAGGCCACGCAGCCAAGGACAAAACAAAAGCTTCGCTTCGCATGCAGCCGCCGCCGAGGAGACCAACACCACATTCAAAGTCCGACTGGGCCCCCACGCCGCGCGCGCGCCGTACAGCGCCACGTCTTCTTCATGCTACCAGGCCTTGTTCAAGCTACGGCTACTTCCAGGTCTTCACACTGACACATACATCGCCTTTTCACTGGGACCGACGACCGTTGGAAGCAAACGAATATTTGATTGCTCGAAGAGCTTCTTTCAGGTGACATGGGGCAGCGACATGAGGGACGGGGGCGGGCGAGCGAAGGCCTCTGTTGGGGAAATGGCGGTGAATATGATCGCGAATAGATCGAGACGTCTTCTGACAGTCTTGGGCGGCCTGGATAGCAGAAAGACACCGCAAGCTGTCAGTTCGGGTCGGAACGGACTGCAGGCTTTATTATCTAACTCACGTAGGCACTCTCGAGGGCGCGACCTCTAGTTGTCTGCCGCGGTGCAGCCCTTGCAGGACACGAAACCGATCATACCGTTGTGGCAGTTGATGCTGTCCACCTCAATGCCGTTGTGGCGATCTGGGAAGAAGGAAAGCTTGCTGAAGTTTACCTTCTTGACGACGTCGAACTTGTCTCCGACGTGGGCCCTGGTGGACTTCTCCTTGCTGAGCTCGTAGCTGCCCTTCTTGCTATGGTAGGTGAAGGAGAGCATCTCCTCGGCCGACTGGCGAACGCACTGCATGGCCTTCTTCCTGGTCACCTGCTCATCGGAACGAGCAAAGACCTGGCAGTTGTTGCAGTTCCAGAGACCACCATAGCCCCGGTCTTCGGCTTTGGCAACCGAGGTGAAGCCGGTGATGGCTACGACGGCCATGAGGAGGGTGAGAGCGCCGATGCGGACCATTGTAAAGGATTTGGTGGTGGTTGGAGGGGAGCGTAGGGTGGTGTTGTGGGCGAAGATATGTTTGAGGTAGGGAGGGTTCGAGGCGATGTCCTATTATAGCTTCACTGCCACTTCTCTTTTCAGGCCCCTTGGCCCCCTATTACGGCCCGTGGCTATGCCCAGGGGCTTCGTGCCTGAGCACTCTCTTCAAAGTGCTTGAGTCACTTCATACGGGCCCACTCCTCGGACTTCTGGCAGGCAAGCTGGGCGTCGTCAGGGTCAGTGTGAGAGCAAACATTTAGTTCCATGCCCTGGCCCTGTTGCCTGGTCTCCGTGCACCGGGGCCGTTCGCCCGCTGAACTGCCTTGCCCTACTATAAAGCAGAAACCTGCCCTGCATCGTACCGACGTGCTCACATTCATCTCGAGCTCTATGTCCCTGACCCCAGCACTTCTCCGAGTCTATGCACAACCTCTCAGGTCCTCGCTCAGATGCTGATAAAAGGTGGAAGAGATGAGATTCTGCTCGGAGAGCTTAGAGAATGTGGTAAGGGGCAACATGAAAAGGAGCAGGCATTTGTTTGCCTGTCCGCGAAGCAAGACGGGCAATGCTGGTCGCGACGAAGAGGAGATGAGACCCGAGAGCCCCAGATATCCTGCATGGGAAAGCGAAGCATTATGCGTCAGTATGGATGTGCTGTCCACTCGTTCCCTGACGCAATACTCACGCGAGCGCCCTCGCTTGAATAACCGCTTAGTGCTTCTCGCACTTGGAGCAGATGGCGAGTCCCTCAAGGTTGTTCTCGCATTCGAAGTTTCTGATGGTGAAGCCACCAACCGAGTCGGGGTGGAACTGAAGGTCCTTGAAGTCGACGCCCTTGACGATGTCGTGCTCGCCCTGGTCAGTCTGGATCTTCAGGGCCTTGTGCTTGATGAGCTTGTACTCAGTCTTGGAGCTTCCCTTGTAGAAGTCGGTGATGTGGCCAGCGAGCTGCTTGACACACTTGAGTCCGTCCTTCTTTGTCAAGGCCTTGTCAGAGCGAGCAGTCAGCTGGCACTTGTTGCAGTCGTAGTGGTGTCCGCTACCGGCGGCGGCGAAGCCGGTCATGGCGACCAGGGCGATGAGGCTGAATGCGGCGATGCGAACCATGGTAGTGATGTCGGGTGGGGGAGAAGGGGGAGGTTGTGTAAGGTGTAAAGAGAGTGTGGAGAGGTGTGGGAGTGAGGGAGGTGAAGTCTTCGATGGTACGTCGAGACACGCCTTCTTATATCTCTCATCAGATGAACGGCTCCTCCCCCTCTGTTTTACGTCTGGCTGCACAGAAAGGGGCTTTCCGTGCCGGGCGCTCAGGTGTGATGTGCGGGTGTATATATGGCCCCTTTCACCACCCTCCTGCGCCAAGGTACATTTGAAGCGGGAGTCCGTTGCTCTGCAAGGCCCAGCGTTGATTTGAGGTCAAGGACTTCCGGTGCTGTATCTTCTGAGCGTCGTTAAAACCGACATAGAACGACTCGGATGGGAACTCGTATCTGGAAGTCCGGCACTGAGAACGGTCGGGCATAGGAGGTGCAGAGGGCGTCCTGCCAATTCATAGCCCCTTTTGCCGCCCTGCCTGCTCCAGCTCGGTCTAGCCAGCACCTGAGGCATTGTCCGTGAGGCAGCCGCAAGCACACATCGAGCCTCGTGACGGGGTGGACACTGCGACTCTTGCTGGAACATTCCACGTCGATCGGACAAGCACAGTCAGGGCACATTAATGGGTTTATTTCTGCTCAGAGAGCTTCGAAATGGTGGAAACAGACATGGGTGACATGGGACGGTGCGTTACTACGAGAGCGACTGGGATGGACACAGAAGGCTGCTTGTGATGGGGTCTCAAGCCTCGCAACGTAGCGGAGACGTGACAATTGACTGACGACAGCCTCATGCTCGTCTGTGTGTGCGGAAGGCCGACAAAGTGGTCAGCATCGATGCAAGTCGCTTCTCCTATGCTTTCGGAAGACTCACGCCGGAAGCGCCAGAGGACATGTCGCTCAGACGGTGATCTTCTCGCATGCGGTGCAGACAGCAGATCCAGAGTTGCCGTTGGCGCACTTGAAGTCGTCGATGGTGAAGCCACCGTGTGAGTCGGGGTGGAACTGCAGGTTGTGGTAAGTGACCTCCTTGATGACGTCGAACCTGCCATCGGGGGCAGAGCCGCGAGTCAGGGGCTTCTTGCTGAGGTCCCAAGAAGAGTCATCACCACCCTTGTAGAATTTGGTGATGTGCGCAGAGAGTTGGCGAGTGCACTGAAGGGCAATGTTGGCCTTTTCGTATTCAGTGGAACGAGAGATTAGCTGGCAGTCGCTGCAGTCGTAGTGGTGGCCGTTGCCGGCCGAGACGAAGCCGGTCAGAGAAATGACGGCGGCAAGAATGGCGAAAGCTCCTGTGCGGACCATTTTGAAGATGTCTGGTAGTTGGCTGAAGGGTGTGGTGTGAAGGGGTAGTGAAAGATGGATGGGTACGAAACAGTGAAGTGCTATGGCTCCCTGAAGTCGAGCTTATGTATCTTCGCACAACACCCGCGATTATACACACTCTCCCTATACGGCCACCCTATATCCTCGAGAGGGCCCATGGGAGCCACTATGCATGGACGACGGTAACACAGGGGTGCGGGCCGCCCTGACCAAGATTTGTGGTAGCGGACGGCCCTGACCGTGAATCCTCACAGCAACTCGAGAAGTTCGTTCATACGGAGCCGCGCGACGCATTACCCCTATTGGACTACATATTTGAACGTGCGTGACAAGGATCAGGCCTCAGAAGACTCCTTCAAGCAGGAGTCGCTCCATGCAATGGAGTAGCCCCTGTCACCTCCTCTCCGCTGCGCATCCAGATTGGTCACGCGCGGTAAACCGGAGTCTCGCAATATCCGTGAGCAGGGCCACCAGCTCGACAGGGCCTCGCACACTCTCGCTCCAAGATGGCAGGGCGCAGGTCACATTGATGTCACGCCCCTTTGAGCCGTGTTCACACTGCAGTACACACTCGAAAATGGATGACTGAAATAAAACATGAATTCCCAAGTGACGTGATGACCGGTTGTGGGATGAGACAAGTGATGTGCGGATCGATGAAAGAGAGAACACTACATGAGAGACAATGCTAGGATGGAGGACATAATAAGTAGATATGGGTGGGCGAGAAGTACTCGACAAAGGTGAGGATGAAGGGAGGTGGGTGGAGTCGGAGGTGGAATTTTGCTGCGTCGCGTCGCGCTTTAGGAGCACTGGGCGCTCTTGCACCATCCGGAAGAGTCGGTGATGTAGGAAGGGTCGTTCTGGCCTCCGTAGTTGGTGGCAGCGCTAGTAGACTCGCAGATGGAGTAGAGGGCGCAAGTGTAAGCTCCGCTGTACTTGCCACCCATGTCGCCCTCGGTTGTGTCTCCGTGGTCGAGGTAGGCATTGACAAAGGCACAGCCGCTGACTTGGTCGCAGACGGTCAGGCATCCTTCGGTAGTGTTGGAGAGACCGTAGGTGAGGTAGTTGGCATTGTCGATGATGGCAGCACCGACGACCTGACCAGCGTATACACCAGTAGTAGCAACAGTGGTGTAGTTGTTGAAGGTCTGCAGGTAGCCGTCGTCGCAAGTGTTGAGGGGAGTACCAGTGGCCACAGACACTGCAGAGGAGATGGTAGTCGAAGTGGTGGCGGTGGTGGTGACAACCGAGGTGACAGTGGTGTCAGTGGTAGTGGGAACGACGGTGGTGGTGCCGCTCGCTGTGACGGTGGTGGTTGCGGTGGTGGGGACAACGGAGGTCACGGTGGAGACAGCGGTAGTGGTGCACTTGACGGGTGACTTGATACCGTGACCATTGTTGTAGGCGGGGCGAGGCCACGAGGGCTTGCCCTGGAATCCCCAGTCCCATGAGTGAGAGGGAGGGGATGCCTTGTTTGGGTTTCCATTGCGGCAGAAGCTGCTCCAAGATGCGGGCCAAGTCTTGCACAGCAGAGTGCTTCCACCGTCCCACTTGGGCTGGGAGCAGGCAACGTTGCCAATGTACCAGCCGGGGGTAGAAGACTGCTGCCAGGGGTAGCCAGAGGCTCCGAAGTACTTCTTGTTGGCCAGCAAGGCAACAATGTCTGAGAACCAGTCACGAGACTCAATAGAAGCAGCTTCGGCCTCGCCGGAAGCGCTGAGGGCGACCGCGACCAAGGCAGCGGTGAGGAGGGTGAATCGCATTTTGAAAGAAGAGAGTGATTGGGGTGGGGACGGGCTGTCGGATTGGTAGAGTGGAGTGGAGTGGAGTGCAGTGGAGAGGTGTGAAGTAGAGTGGGTGCTTTGATGAGGAGAAGACAGGTTCTGAAAAGGGTGCAAAGGCCTGCTTTATGTACCTTTTGTTCGCACCTTTGCTACTTCATCCTCGTACGCAACGCCTCCTCACTTGTCTGCGCTTCAGACGCATCGTCGGGCAGAGAACAGATGGTGATGGCAGAGCATAGGCCGCCGTAAAATGTTCGAGGCCTGCCCAGCCATGGTTCCAGTCCACCGCCTGAGACAAACGCGACAATCCTTACATGGAGAAGGCTTGCGCCACGCCGATCGTCGCAGCATTACCGGCGGGGCATCGACGAGGGTCTCGAGCCGTCGGGCCAGGGTGACCGAAGCCTCGGGCAGAGGGTCCGAGATCGAGGCGTAGAAGGCCTTCCTGAAACATCGATCAATCCTCCGAGCCGCGGAGGCTTTGGACAGGACCTGTCTCTGCTCTTCCCCACCTCGCCATCGGATACAGCGGCAGATCAGAGACAGGGTCATCTGTATAGCTGACAAACAGATCTCAGACCTTCCTCTGCAATGGCGCGGCTGCGTACGGCTCCCCTGCCGATGAGACCAATCCCCGCCTGCAACAGACGGGAAGAAGGCGCGAGCGTCAAAGACAAAGTGCTTCGGATAGGGCTCATCGATCGAAGCAGGGGCTGAGACAGGTGCATTCGCTCGACAGAATCCTCCGAGGGCATCATGGCGTAGCCACTGCCCCGTACTTGATCTCGGGGCTGTTTGGAACAGACAGGCGGGGAAGAGACCATGCGAGACAGACAGGCGGCAGTCCAGACCAGAGCCCAGGGGGCTTGAGACATTCTGGCAGCGGAGTCGCAGTGCCGCCCCAGGCGTGTGGTGCGCGCGCGCGTGCTCGCGCCTCTGCGTGGGCGCTTCCTCGACGCCCGCGCCTACGTCCATGTCCACGCCCCAGCCGGAGCAGACGGCAGGCCGGCAAGCAGGCAAGACAAGCGGCTTCTTGGCGTTTTTGATGGTACAAGGTGTACCGAAGAAGGTACATCGATCACCTCACAGCTTGTTGAAGATCGAGTCGCTGTGGGCAACGTGACAAGGAGACACAGAGATACAGTACAGCACACCAGCGGCACGAAGAGACGAAGTTCGGCTCTGTGTGCAGTGTCATATTAGCAAATGCTCAAGCTGGTCAGACCACGCAAGTGGTCCCCATCTCCTTCTAGCATCTGCGGTCGACGCACAGCTGCTACAGCGGGCCGTACGATCGACGGATGGATTTGCAATGGCCTCGCACACCCGAGGCAAGGGCCTGCCGAATTGAATGTAGCAGGATCATCTCGATTGAATCTGTGATCGATCGGAGGCGTTGGGGAGCCTGGATCGCTGTAAGGATGGCTCTCGTCGTTAATATGTCTCTGCAATTTGGGTGAGACAAATGGGCACAATGCGTTTCGGTCTCATCTCCCCTTCTTTCGGACTCGGGATCAACAAACCCTCTATGCACATGCATGGCCTACATTATGGGTCTTGGCCCACGCCGAAGCTTCTCTGCAGCCTCGCTGGGACCTCGCTACTGGGCAGATGCGCTGCACGGGGCGCCTATCCGATTGTCAGTGGCAGGACCCAGAGGCCGGCCTCTGATAACGCACGATCGCATTCACCTTCTCCTCCCATCCGGGTTGGCTGCTCAACCCGGGTCAGCCCCACGTGGTGCGGAGTCTGGTACCGTGCGTGCGGAAATCTGGCCCTGGCCCTTGGCCAGACGCAGAAGGCAGATGCGGGCCCCATTGTTCTTCGCCCGCCTTTACCCACAGCCACGCTCTGCAGGGGCAGGGCAACTGACAGAGGGCGTGGCCGCCGGGGCCTCTCCCGCCTTCCTATGTGTTTCGGAGTGCCTGCGTCTCGCAGCAAAGGCGGGCAGCATCAGGCGAAGGCACTTGTCCTATCCAAAGTTTCAATTCAGCTCAGCTCGGTGACTTCACCCAAGTGCTCCCACCGCAATTGGCAAGCGGCAAGCGATGGCCTTTACCCAGGGCTGCCTGCACCCCCTTTGCTGTGAACGCTTTGGCCCACGGGCCACGAGCCCGTATAGTACGAGATCCCGAAGAACCTCATATAGTCTCGGTGCCCGGTCCCCATGCAATGAGACTTGCCTTTGTCACTTTCTTCTTCCGTATCAGCACACACAGCGACTCGAATCCCCTCTTATAAACTCACACTCCCTCTGCCCCGCCCCCTCGACACTCCTTGGCATCCTTGCGATAGTCTTCCCCTCTCAATAACGCAATCGCACACAGGCACCTCACAAGGCCCCCATCAGCCCCTCATGTCCGCCCGTCGAGGCTCGATTGAGCGCAACGTCTCAAGCAGGATGGAGCAGCTGGATGACGCCCACTCTCCCACCGAAATGCCTGCCACCCACAGCTCTTCCTCGTCGGTGAAGGGGTCCTTCACCGACTCTCGCGCCCGCTCTTCGCAAACCTCTTCAGCCGTGCCCAGCCTGCACGAGCAACCCATTGGCAGCGGAACCATGTCGCCGTCGCTGTCGCAGCAACAATTCTACTCGCAATTCCCTCAGCACACAGTCCAGCGCATGCAAAGAGGCGAGTCTACCAACTCTTCGTGGCTGGGTCACACTTCCTACTACGGCTACGGCGGTGCTAGCACGCCTGCCACACCCGGCGTGGACCCTTCTGTCCCTCTGAATGGCTTCTTCTCTCCCTCGGGCGCTGCTACTCCCATGTCAGCCAACCCTTCAACCAATGGTATTCCACCCGTGCCAAGGCTGCCGGCTGGCATCAGCACTCCCCCCAACCCCAAGCTGCGTCAGAGGAAGATCTTCAAGTCGACTGTCCTGAACGAGAATGAAGAGGTGCACAAGCCATGGCTGGACAGCAAGGCTCGCAAGTCTGCCAACCGCAAGGCTTACTGGCTCTTTATCTCTGGTATCGTCATCGGTCTTCTGGCGGCCGTGGCAGTCATCTACACTGGCTATGCCTCTGTCAAGCAATACAAGTTTTGCATGGTGCTGGACGAGTCCTTCTCAGGTACCGAGATCAACCCGAACATCTGGTTCCACGAGCAGGAGACTGGTGGTTTCGGCAACGGTGAATTCGAGTGGACCACTGCCTCCACGAACAATTCCTACGTCAAGGACGGCTACCTTTACATTGTGCCCACCCTCACCAGCGACGCTCTGGGTATGGACGCCATTACCAATGGTTACACTCTCAACCTGACCACTGCCGGTACCTGCACTGCCGCCAACCCCAACGACATTGACGCTTGCAGTGTCTACTCGAACTCCTCGACTGGAGTAATTCTCCCACCTATTCAATCCGCTCGACTGGTGACCAACTTCTCCTCGACGATCAAGTACGGTCGTGTCGAGGTGCGCGCCAAGATGCCCAAGGGTGACTGGATCTGGCCCGCAGTGTGGATGATGCCCAAGTACAGCGTGTACGGAGCTTGGCCCCGATCTGGTGAGATCGACATCTTCGAGTCGCGCGGTAACATTGTCAAGAACAAGAATGACGACTTTGGACAGGTGATGCACTCTACTCTCCACTGGGGTCCTTCCAGTGACTATGATGGTTACAAGCACACCACTGACGGCAAGCGTCTCTACCGCAACTACTTTAATGAAGATTTCCACACCGTCGGTATGCAGTGGACTCCTGATGGAATGTACACCTACTATGACAACCCCAACAACAAGGTGCTGGAGTGGAAGTTTGACCAGAGCTTCTGGAACCTGGGTGACTTCCCTACTGCCGCTACCAATGGAAGCACCCTCACCGACCCTTGGCCGGCAAATGGCAACGACATTGCTCCATTTGACCAGGAGTTCTTCCTGATCCTCAACGTCGCCGTCGGAGGCACCAATGGCTGGTTCAACGACCCTGACATGCCCTGGAGCAACGATGCTGACAATGCTCGTGGCGAATTTTGGGAGAACCGTGACACGTGGCTGCCCACTTGGGGAGCTACCGACTATGACCGTGGAATGGTCGTCGACTCGGTCAAGATGTGGAACCTCGAGGGAGTAGAGGGCATCGACTGCCCCGCCACACCCATCACAAACTAAGCCTCGTCCGCTTTGATCATAGAGAATCCTGCTGTTCAAGTGCGCTAGTCTTCTTTTACCTTGTCCGGATCGGTGTTTCTCGTGCGCGTCTCTACAACACACATTCTCACACTGGCTGTTTCTCCTTGGTCTCTTTTCGCCTCATTGTCACATTATGGATCCCATGCTATCTTGCGCTCCTCTGATTAAATATCATTCTTGCATAGACGAAAACACCTGGTGTAGAATCGAGCTTGGTCTGGTGAAGTGGAGTGTGAGGTGGGTCGGTGAGGACGTCAGTGTGGTACTGTCCTCTGCGCTTGGTATCTCTCTGCCCCTTGCGCGGCGTGCCAGGCGCGGCTTATGTCCGGGCGGGCCCTCCACCGGCCTTGCTGCCGCGTGTGGCCTGGCGGGGAGAAGAGGCAATGCGGTCAAGGGCAGGAGCGGCGGCTGGCGGCCTGCTTACTTCTTTCCTCTATTCCCAACTACTCCACTCACCTCGTACCGGTATTCTCCCTCCCCCCACCATTCGCACATCATAGGCGTCTTTGCTTCCAAACCAGAGTTCGGTCAGCTCCCAGAAGATAGAAAGATGGCCGCCAAGCAATTTGCAGAGGTGAGTAGAGGAGCAGAAGGTGCAGCGCAGAGCGGCGCAGAGGGAAGACACAGGGAGAGAGAACCGGAGAAGCTGCAGGGATCATCATACTCACTGCCACCATCCTGTTGCCACTCTTGCTTTGCATTTCCCGCAACAGAAACTCATCAGCGAGAAGCTGGTAGCAGTCTTCAGCAAGAGCTACTGCCCTTGTGAGTGCAATGCTCGAAAGGGCAGCTCCCCTTCGCTTATGAGAGGTGCAGCCACTGACCCTTCCTCTCTCTCTCTCTCTTGACTTCTTACCCGTAGACTGCCGTCAGGCCAAGGGCGTCATTGCCAACCTGGGCTTGCCAGAAAGCAAGGTCGGCATCGTCGAGCTGGACCATGAGAGCGAGGGCTCTGACATTCAGGTGAGTAGATGGAACGAACGATACAGGCATCCAAGCCCCTCTTCTCCTTTTCTCCTTCTCACACTCTTCCTTCCTTCCTTGTGCTCAACAGGCCTATCTCGCCGACAAGACCGGACAGCGCACAGTGCCCAACATCTTCATCAATGGCAAGCACCTGGGTGGATGCTCCGACATTCTCCAGGCCGAGCAGTCTGGCGAGCTCAAGAAGCTCGTCGCTTAGATTGACGGAGAAATATGAAGGTGGCGGCTAACTATAAGAGAAGCTCATCGTTTCGTTAGTAATATGAGATTGATAATGCTCAAGTCAGATACGTCTGTTCATGCGACGAACGTCCTGGCGCACTGATTCATTTGATAAATGGGTACAATGCAAGCAGCTCGCCTTATTCTTCACCGGCTGCATCTCCTCCTCCCTGGTACTCCGCCTTGAGATCCTCTGGCCACCACTCAGGCCAGACAGGCTCCACTCTCCACTCGCCTCCACTCCCATCGCCACCTCCTTCCACTCCTCGTTGCCCCTGTAGTGTCAGCCAGCCTCCCTCCGCAAAGCTCTGCTTCGGAAGCAGGCCCAGTCTGAGCGAGGCCAGGCCGACATGGCTGGGTTCACCACTACCACCGCTGCCTGCTTCATTCGGAAGGACAGCCAGTAGCTTGCCAGCTGATTTGGATCTGCGACTCTTGCCCTCTGCACCTGCAGCAGTCGCATTCGTTGCAGCAGGCGGCGCCCTCAGATCCCCTCCTATATCGGGCTGCCCCGCTCCCTCCGAGCTTGCAGCCTCAGGTGCGTATATTCTGACAGGCATGATCCTCTTTCGCACCACGCCCGTGTGATGTGTGCGAGCGGTGAGCTCCTGACCCACATAGCATCCCTTGCGGAAGTCAACACCGTTCATGAGGTCCAAGTTGGCCTCCAGGGGCAGCGCGTGGTTCTCTGCCAGCTCCTCTGGCCCGTCCGGTACGCCCTGGGTGAGACGGTGGTGCTCGTAGGACGGGGATTGCCTTCCCGCTGCAGGCTGCGCCGTTCCAGAGGCAGATGTGAGGATGCGGTAGCCCATGCTCGGAGTCCTTGGGTCACGGTAGACGTGGGTCTTGGCGTCCGAGGAAGGCACGGCACTATCGTCTCCCCAGAGCTTGTGTACGGTCCAGCTGCTCCCGCTCTCTTCCGACCCCACTGTAGCTCCTCCCTGGCCCGCTTCCGTCTCCAATTCTGCGATCTTGACCTTGCTCCTAAGCTTGAAGCGCTTGATGAACCCAAGTAACGCCTCTTTGTTCCCCTCATGGCAGTCCACGATTACATGCGGCACATCGGACGTGGTGGAAGGGTGTGGGTAGAGAAAAGCCGTAGAGATCAAGCGACCCTGCGGGTTGAGAAAGGCACAGTAGAAGGCTTTCTGCGGCGTGGCATCCTCGCTGTTCTGACCTTGACTCCGCGAGGTGAGAAGGCCGGCCTGCTCCTCGAGGTGCCGCACGTCATTTGTCATCAGACCCTGCAACAGTTTGTAAGTGTCACGTCCACTGAGGGATAGGAGGCTCCGCCGGCTGCTCATAGGCGTAGCAGATGAAGATGAGGCAGAAGTTGAGAAAGTGAGGTGTCTTGAAAGCGAGGAGAGGCTTTGCAATGCGAGGCGAGGGTGCCTCGCTGGTACATGTGCCCTACCAGCAAGAGCAGAAGCGCCATGTGACTCGAGTAGACTGCTTTCTTGGCATCGTCTTTGTCGCGGGGCGACTTGAGACTGCGTTCGAAAGTTCCTGGCTCTGATGGAGACTCTGTCCGTGCTCCCAACTGCTGCTGCTGCTGCTGCTGCTGCTGTACCGCCTGCAGAGATCGAAGGAGATGCTCGCAAAGCCGCCACCGCCGCTGGTAGCAGCTTCCTGCCAGCAGCCGCGGAGGCGGAGGAAGCTATAGAGGAGGAGGAGGCTACAGCAGAAGCCATGGCCGATTGTGAGAAATGTGACGAGCGAGAGTCGTTCCTGACGAGTTGTCAAAGTAGATCTAGTCTATCGTAAAAGGAGCATGGCAAAGCGCCCTACGCGGAAGCGGCAAGAAGAGCGGAGCGGAGCGGACGGAAGGCACAAGTGGAGAAGAGCATCGGAACGGGACTGAGCAAGTTGCCTACGAGAAGACGAGGCAGAGACAGTCCCATGTACGCCGCACACCCTGCAATTCGATCGACGAACGTCCTTGTCGGTGGCCCATGACAATTGTCCAAGCGAAGCGATAAATAGATGCAATGTACGGGAAACAGAGTGTTGAAAGCGAAAAAGCCCAACATCGGTCAACGATGCCCCTACGTCTCCTCAGTCTCGCCATCAATCGACTCGTCTACACTTTCACCAAAGGACGGACCGCTACTCACAGCACTGGCATAGTCCGGCAATGTAGAAGAGCAGCGCGGCGTTGAATCGGTGAGGTAGTGATCGTGGTCATGCGCTGGACTAGAGCAGAGCTCGGCCCGATCTCGCTCCTGATCATGAGAGTCGACGAGGGGCGCGTCACCGGCAGCATCTCCGGCGCGACTCACAGCAGCTTCGCTATCGCGAGACTCTTCGGGGCAATCTTCGACTCGCTCTCTCTCCCCTTCTGGATCGAGAGAAGTGCGGCCTCCTCCCCCTCCAAGACCTAAGCGGGGTAGCATCCGACGCTTCGATCTTCCACCCTCCTTTTCTTTGTCTTTGTCCTTTTCCTTCTCCTTCTCCTTCGAGCTCGCGGTCTTGCTCGAACCAGAGCTGATAGTCTTCCCCGATCCAGTGGACTTGCGCGGTCTGCTAGGCGGGGCAGAGGGGATGATGGGGCTTGGCATCAAGCTGTCCACCCATGCTGCGCCCATTGGAGGCAGGGCGATTTGTCTGGAGCGAGCCGGGGCAGGAGGGGAGGCAGGGCTCGAGACAGACACAGAGGTAGTGTCGAACTGCTTTGCTTCCTTCTCTTGCTCCCTATCATGACGGGTCGACTTGCGACCAAAGGGCAAGACGGAGGTGTGCTTCCTGCTCTTGCTCAGTGACGGCGAGTGCGAGTGTAGTCCTTCTCGATCCGCACTGGAGGTGTTGTTGACTCTGGAGACAGGCGCAACAGTACCGTCTTCTCCACGGCTGCCGCTGCCGCGGGAGTTGGTCGTGGTGAGTGCTGTGTTGTCCAGTGAGCTACGAGGAGACGAACTGTGGAGGTCTTCGCCATAGTCAGAGACGGGGGTGAGGACGCCCTTTGTCATCGTCCTAGTCTGGCGGCGGGCCTTGCGAGGAGTTTCTGGGCAGCTCAAATCGGCAACGTAGTCGGTGTCCGACATCGACCCCGGTGTGTCGGGGCGAGGAGGCTCATCCTTGGATGAAGGTTCTGAGGAAAGCCCAGATCCGCTGACACCAGCTGTTGAGGTACCGTAAGACCGGCTGGGAGGAATGAACGAGGTGAAGGCTCGACCTCGAAGGGATGTCCTACCCAGACCTCCGATGGGCGCTTCATTGACCACGACTTGAGGAGGGCTCGATGCCCCGTTGTCTACCACTTTGACGACTTGAGCTTTCTTTTTCTTGCGCTTCTCGATGTAGAAGGTCTGATACTGTTCGTACATCCTGTCGAAGGCATCCGACTCGACGCTCTTCTCTGGGCGAGGGGTAGAGTTGACCCTGCTTGGAGCATTCGCTTGGCTACGATCAAAGTCGCTGCCATCTTCGCTACTAGTCTCGGCGTGTGGTGAAGAGGCAAGCTCGTCCTTTGCCGGTACGTGTCTGCGCCTACATTGACGTCGTTGGCTAGGTGGCTGCTTTTCGCTTCCTTCTGCAGGCGGACCTTTACGATCGAGGACGAGTGTCTTCCAATTGTTGATCTGACTAGCTTCGAAGAGCTTCGCCAACTCTGCCTGCCAGGGATCTCGCTCTATACTTTTGTAGATTTTGTCGTATTTGGAAGGCGGAGGAAGGGAAGCGATGCTGAATCCGAATCCTTTTCGCTGCGCGATGGTAGTGGAGAGCAACAAAGGCCTGAGAGGATCAATGTGAAATTCAATGGGAGGATGCATAGTCTGGACAATCGCTGGCGGGTACTCGGCTTGCCGGCTTGCCACCCTATTGAGGGCCTGGTCGTAGCTCATCAAGCGCATGTGACGCGTCTGAGGTGTTCCAGGGGGACTGTTCTCTGGTGAGCCACGAGGCGTTTGGTCAGGCGAGCTGTCCGTGGAATCATCTGTGGCGGCATCGCCGCCCTCTAAGCTTGTGTGACCGGCTTCCTCTGTTGCCTCATTCGTGTCCTCATGGAAAGGCCGGATACGAGAAGCCAAGATGGCCGAGGAGTGTCTGTGGCTCCCTGGCGAGGAGGACGGATGATGGTTGGAAGAGGAGGACGCGTGCGTCTGATCGGCAGAGTACCTCTTGACCCTGAAGTCTCGGCTGCCAGAGCGCGAGTGCGCTATCGGCGTCTCCATGAGTCGAGGTAGGTGGAGATAGCCGCTCCAGGATCACGACTGCGCCCTCGAAGAAGGTTGCAGAGGTGCACTGGCGAGTCTGATTATGAGTATTGAGATCCATTAGGAACCATCCCAGTCCGCGACACAACCGTTGCGACTTGCCAGCTCAGGGCCACCGAAGCAGCCTGGGCAGCCTCAACCCACCAGCCCCCGCGAGCTGTCCTTTGCCTGTTGATATTCTCATTATCGCCCTGAAATCTCTTGTGGGTCAACGTACACGGGCGATGTGGCCTTGGGAGTCGCTGGTCAGGGCAAAGGAACGCGTCCTTTTCCCCCCTGCTTGTAATTCAGGGCCGTCGGTAACTCCGGTGCAGCGGCTCGGAACCGGAATGGCGCTGTCGGTGCGGAAAGGGCGACGCGTTGATTGTCGTGTGTGCAGCCGGGGTGGTCTGTGCAGCTCCGCACTCTCTGTCCTCCCGTCGGGTGCAAGGTGGGAACCGTTTGCGCCCAGAAGAGTCACCGGAAGTGATTCAGTCGATTGATTGCTGCTGCGCACAACGATGTTCATCCCTGACTCCCTTACCATCACTACTGCATATACGCTGCAGAGCAGTCATGCCCGCCCGCAGCAGCATCGCCCATGACAATGCTGTCCTCGCAGTCGGCAGCCTCGACGCTGAAGCTGAGCCACGCTTCGACCAATGGCTTCGCGAAGCAGCCTCGAACGTGGGCGGAGCAGTAACTCAGCACGAGGCACTGGGCGTTCAGATTCGCAAGTACTACGAGGTGAGCACGACAAGACACGATGCAGAGAGCATCAAAGCAGATGAAGCTGACACGACTTCCCCTTCCTTCACCCTTCACCCACTCCCCTTTAGTCTACTCGTCCACCCAAATCCGTGCAGTTGGCTCGTGAAGGCCTTGTAGAACGGCTACAGGAGCTCATCACTGCCCGATGGCCAGATGCACACCTCCAAGCTGAGATCTTCGGTTCCACCTTCACAGAGATGCATACATCCTCCTCGGACATCGACATCGTCCTCTTAGACCCCACTCTACCCCTTGGCAATGCGCAAGCCAAAGACGGACCGCGACCAGAGTGGCATGACGTCAAAGTCTTGGCAAAGTATCTTCGCACACACGCAAAGGCAGAGGGTTTCAAGGACGTCCATGCTATAGCAAGCGCCTCTGTGCCGATCGTGAGCTTCAAGATGGACAATGTTCCCAGGCTGGCCGGTGTCAAGGTCGACATTGCCATCAACAATCGATTCGGTATCGCGTGAGTATCTCAAGAGGCTACACCCGCCTACATTGGCCATGACTGACCGTATCGCATCCGCCCTTCCGCATCCTCGATAGCAACTCTGAGCTAGTCAAGACCTATGCCGACCTTCGCCCTGCCCTAGTCCGGCCACTCTGCCTCACCGTCAAGAAGTGGTTGAAGAGCAGAGGACTCAATGAGCCGGCTCCGCAAGAGGCAATGCAACAGAGAAGTCTGTCGAGCTACACAATTGTACTCCTGTAAGTCAGACGCTACAAGAGGAGGATGGCATAGCACAGACGAGCTGACCCCCGCTTTTCCTCCACCTACTACAGAGTCATTGCCTACCTTCAGGCCTCGAATCGGTTGCCCAACCTGCAGGACTCGGAGCTGCTCGGCAGGATGTGGTCTCGCCCACGATGGCTCTGGACCATGCCAGAGAAGTCGAAGAATCTCACAGAAGTGGACGATTCCTTCTCCGAAGACGAGTCTGAGGAGGAAGACAGTGATTGGGAGGAAGTCGTGGTGACTCCAACTCTCAAGACTGGCGTGAGGTACAACGTCGTCTTCTACAACCCTACGGAGCGATGGACCAAGAAGGGTAGTGTGAGGAAGATTCAGGATCCTGGTCATCTGGGATGGATCAGGTCCTTCTACTACCGTAAGCGTCGCTTCCCTCCGGTTCTGGACAATTGGCTCTACAATTACGAGGAAGTTCGCAAATCGAAGGGACTACCCAAAGGATTGCCCAGGCCCGAAGCCGTGGCATTGCATCAAAAGGACTCCCAGCATGCCAGGGAAGCAGATGCCGAGCTAGGTAGCTGTCTCGCCGGATTCATCGATTGGTTCCTCGACAATTGGAGGCCTAGGGTCCACAGTGACAAGCCCTGCTTTGACATTGCTTCCTCTGAGCGCAGGACGATCAATACCCTGAGGGACATTGAGCTCTGGGAAGCTTGGAGCCGAAGTAAGCCTCGATACGAAGAGGACAAGCCCAACGTCGACTACACGCAGCCAATGGACTGGGCTCGCCATCCTCTGGTCGTACCCGACCCATTCATCAAGCAGAGAAATACGGCTCGAAATGTCAAAGACGGAGTTGCCCACGACTTGGGCAGAGAGTTCTCAAGAGCGCAAGAGGTACTGCGATCGACTTCTCCCCCAAGCTTGGGTAAGCTTTTCCAGAGCATCAGGGACGAGAGACCCTACATCGTCGATGGTGGTGCGGACAATCTGAACCGCCTGCTGGAGAACATGACCATCGGGACGACTCCGGCATCCAGGGCACGCGGTGCGACCAGCACTACTTCAAGTAGGGGAAGATCGACGACATCTTCTACTGCGCCAGCTCCTACCCCTGCTCCTCACACTACGAGCGCTCCACGTGGTCGAGGTGGGCGTGGAGGCAGAGGAGGAAGGGGAAGGCAACCCGGATGACTTCTTTTGCGCTCAGAACGAGCGGCACTTTCTGCGAAGGTGCCTCTCACGACCCCGGCTTCGGGCAAGCCTCGACCCTCTTTTCGATTTTTCTGCAAGAATCTTCTCTTGCTAGCAGTCACCTCGGCTTAGAGCCCATGACTTTTTCTCCTTCGGACCGAGAAACTGTTGCTGCAAAGATGCTTGCCAGGATAACGGCTACGGGCGAGCGTTCCGCCTCCTCTAGGTTGTTGGCGAGAACCACTTCTTGTTGGCAACCACCTTGGCTTCGAGCAGGTAACCTGTCCTCCCTTTCTTTGCGCCATGTCAAAGCAGCAGTGCTGATCCTTGACCTCGAATTGTTTACAATTGAATGTTGCTCTCTGTCAGAGATTTGAGCGCAAGCTCGTGCTCATTCCGAAAGAACTGTGTAGTAGCACAACCATCCACCATCAAAGTCATTTTTCTTCATGTCCATTGCGCTGCGAGGGTATATTACTTTTTTATTCGCCAACATGGGAGCAAGAGAGCAAAGCTGCACGTGCACAAGGCTCCGATGTTCAGGCGGACTCCATGACGATGCTGCTTGCTAGCAAGCCGATCTCCAGATGGAAGCTCTACTGACGGATCCTGCGCAAAGCAACTTTAAGCGCTGCTCTGCTCTGCTCAACGGGAGAATGAGAAGGTTTATATCCGACTCGCCTTGAGTTCGAACTATTCTTCCTTTCTCTTTGTTCACTCATCATTCGCCCTCACAACATCACAACGTCAATTGCCCAGTATGAAGCTCCTCCGCTCCCTCTCTTTCTTTGTGCTGCTGGTCAGCACTGCTCTCACCGTCGCAGGTCAACCCCAGGCAGAGGCAAGCATGGCAGGTCTTCGGCGTCAGAGGGCAGATACCGCACTTCCACGAACGCTTTCTCCTTTCAATCAGCCGCAGGCTCAGCTCGTTGAGCCCTCCCTCGCTTCCTCTCTGCAAGGGAGGTCCCTGTCGCTTCCAGCTGAGGGCGCTATCTTGCCAAGGAGCAACCGCTTCCTGCAAGGTCTCAAGTCGAAGCTCAAAAAGTGCGTGACCTGCGGCAGCAGCAGTCGCGGAGGCGGCAGACGCCGAGGGGCCGCAGAGCAACGACCAGCAAAACATGCTGTGCATCCGCGCTTCTCCCCAGTTCATGTGCCAAACCAGGCCGGTGATCAGGGTCAGGCGCCGCCCCTACCAGTGGTACCCCTTCACCGCCAGAACAGGAACGACATGGATGCTTTCTTGAATGCGTTGGAACATATCAATTGAGGAGGCGGGGCGGGTCGTGAACGGATGGTGCAAAAGGGATGGCGAGAAGGGTTGGAGTCACAAGAACAAATAGCGTGTTGGATGCAATATGAGTAGCCTTGTCGTGCAACGTAAGCTTTCCCCAACCGATGTCCAATTTGAGCTTGATGGTCTGACTACCACCCCTCAGCGCAAGCTGGAAAGCGGGCAACACACATCCCGATCGATGTAGGGATGTAGATCCCACCAGAGCAACGAGGCAACTTTGCAGGAGCAGCGCGACGTTTGCGTTGCCATTGCCTCTATGTTGGATCTACCCGGGGCTACAGCCGTTTCCCCTTAAAGCTGGTGCAATTTTCTTGTCAAGGTAGGTCAGCTGCCTGCAGAGATCTCCAATACTGAGCTTTCTAGAGAGCTCGATTCTGCATTCAACGCGTACACTCCCATATCGCTCCGCAATGAAGCTCAATTTCTTTGCCTTACCCCTCGCGATATTGCTAGCTTTCACTGCCCGGGAGGCAGTAGCAAGCGAGCGCAAGATCACATCTACCGGCTTCCAGCAAGTCTCCCGCGACTCACCCCATTTGATGGCAAGAGACACACCCATAGACCGCAGAAGCAAGCTTCGCTGGTTCAGAAAACTCAGGTTGAGAAGGAAGGCAAAGGCCTGCATCGCGTGTGGCAAGCCGCGAACAGCCTTGCCGTCCAGACAATCTTCGCCTGAACGGCACCCTGTGCAGCAGCAAGCCAGCGGTCAGCAGCATCGCATCACTATGGGCGCACAGCCGCTAAACATTCCAGATTTCCCGGTAGGACTGAATAGGCTGCAGGGTGGTCGACAAGTGCTTGCTTGAACAGCATTACTGCCCTTTGTCTCGAGGGACGCAGGTATTTGTTTACTAGAGAGGTAATGAAATTCAACACTTCTCGAACGCTCTCGACGATCACGTGACGGAAAATGCCTCAATCTTGATTGCGCATTGTTGACTGTGCGTGCAGATCATTCGACAGCAACGTACAGTAAGTGTTCGTTCGACCGCCTTCATGCTCGCCTTCATATTGCGCCGAGGCAAGACGAGACATAGTTCAGCCTCTTGCTGTTCTTCTTCCAGATTTTCCAGATTGTAAGAAAGCTGATCTGTGCCGTAGAGGCTATAAGCAAGAAGCGATCATGTCGCCTTGCCAAAGTCGTGAAGTGTTCACCTCACTCTCTCACTGGCCTCTGATCTTTTCCCCTTCGCCTCGAACTGGCAACTCACTCTCAGCTCCTTCCCTCGCATACTAAGCCGACCTTTTGAGAGATGAAAGTCAAGGTTGCTGCGTTGGTGCTTCTGGCCTTCTGTTGCTGGACGACAGGTGGGGCTGGTTCTTCACTTCCTCTAGTTTCTCAAGACAAGTCTCTATTCTCAAAAGAGCAGACATCTCCGTCTCCAGCTGGAGGCCCAGCCGGTAGAATGGAATTCGAGAAGTACTCCTTGGAGACCAGATCACCTTGCAAGTGGCTCAAAGACAAACTCAAGGGCTGCTTTCGACCGCCACCTCCACGTGGAAGGGGCAGGGTGGTCGTCAACAACTATCGAACTCAAGAGCTGATGGTGCTATCTCAGCAAGCTCATGATCGAGATCACGGTACCATCGGCATCGGCGGAGTCCAACGAGCATGGAAGTGCAAGTCCAGAGGCACTTGCGTACACGCGTACAGTCAGCAGTTTGAGCCCCCTCCCCCACAAGCGGACGAAGACGAGTGAATCGAATGAGCTCGAGCAAGCAACGTCGGATGATATTGTGCGACTGGTAGTCTCAATTGCAACGCAAACGTTCTCGCTTGTCGTCGTGTGTGAAAGGTTTGCCCGTAGCAATCAGGTAGACAGTGTATAGCCTGCTTGTGACTTGGACGATAGCCTTTACAGCCCTATTGAATGTCGTGATAGCAAGTTTGCCAGGAAAGACCTTGGAGTAGCAAAAGCGACCGGTCACTCTCCCGCACAACATTTTGCTGACCTTCTCATATCCTCTCCGCATCTTCCCCGCTGAATCTCCAGCTTCTCAACCCCTCTACAGTCGTTCATCGAAGCCGGTCTTCGTCTCCTCGACAGAATCTCAATGAAGATCTGCTTGAGATTACTGCTATACGTAGCACTTTGCTGCTCCGCCCAAAGCGTCTTGGGCTCTCCGTCCCATCATTTTGGCCCATTGAGTAGTGCCACACGCAGGGGCGGCAGGGATGACTCCCCGCTTCATGCGTACCCTACAACGGCAGAGCGCTCAAGTGTGCGCTTGGAGGCCAGATCTCCATGTCAGTGGCTGGGCAAGCTCAGGGACAAGATCAAGGGATGCTTTCGAGGCGAAGCGGGACCATCTCGTCCAGTGATTGCTGTCAACAATTATGGGACTCAACAACTTGTCCTCTTGGATCAGCACGCACACGATGCGAATCACGGACGCATCGGTGTGGTCAACATCGGCAGTCCGTATCGGTCCAGATCTCGGAGGACTATCGTGCACCCCTTTGGCAACCGATTTGAGCCTCCTCGCCAGCAAGCCCAGTGAAGTGGGAATGCCACGAAGCCTGGAAAAGCGGAGCCTCGGTGATGTCTTTGGAGGAGCCATGGCATTGGGCGTAGACTTTGCCATTGCTGCTGCCCACATTTGCTGCCTGATTTTTGCTGTGCGCTACGACATGTCGTCGAAGTCCGACCATCAGCACAGTAGAGCAAAGCTGTATAGATGGTCTGCTCTGTGGTTGAGACAATTGCTTGCTGCCACGATACTATCATTATATGTCTTGCCTTGGAACCATCGTGCTCTTCTTTGGTGCTGCACACATTTTTACTTCCTCACACAGCCTACTTGCTGTACCGAAATTGCGCTCCAGCTTCATCGATCCTGAGGCTTGACGCGTAAGGTTACGTTAGCCAACATGCGACTGGTGCCACTCGCCACAGCCTTATTGACGATCTACTGCTCCGTCATCGATGCGTCAGGTACGCCTCTGGGAGCAGCACCTACACAGCACGTCTCTCGCATAGTCGCTGCACCAAGTCTTTCGAGTTCTACGTCTCTATCGGCCAACGACCAGACCCTTTTCGCACGGGCAGGATGGCTTAAAGGCCTCAAGCGCAAGCTCAAGCAGAACATGAAGCTCTGTGTTTCCTGCAACGCGCCTCGACCCTCTCCGCCTCCGACGCCCCCAGGGGCACAGTCACCTCCTCGCCGTACCCTCTCCCGGCCCATCAGCTTCGACAACTTCAGGCTACACGAGCGCTTCCGGGCGCAAGGCGTTGGTGGCGACGAGCGCAGACTACCCGCAAAGGTCGATGTGAGCCCCATTGGCGTTTCGGGCTGTTTGCACGGGCCTACCTGCGCGCACGTCTATGGACTTGAGCCTCACCCGCCTGCTGCGAATCCTCCTTGAGAGTGTCGCGTTAGGAGACGGTAGCTTGACACCCGAGGACGGGCTTGCATTTCAGACGAGGTATTGGCCTTCCCAGGTCACTGACAGGGGTTTCCTCGAAGGAGGCGTGTCGCATTTGCGCAAGAATGGATTTCAAATGATTAAATTGATGATGAGTGTCACAGTGTACCTTGCAGGTAGAGATTTCCAATGTGCTACTGAAGAGAGGTACTGTGAGCCTCGAAAGCCATGTCCGCATTGACTCGATCTCCTCTTCGAGCGTTCTTATGCCGCCATGTTGCTTGTCAGCAGATGGTCGCGAGTTCCGCCTACGTCAAGGGCAAATCGTGGTCGAGATCTGCGCACCCTGTCCACGCAACCTTCTATACCCTCTGGTCTCTACTTATCAGCATTCCCTGGCGGCGTGTATCCTGCCCTCCATCCCGGCCTTCGATTCTCCGCCGTATCTCCCAACCAGTCCGGACGAATGCGCCTGTGCAGTCTCCCCGCTCCCCCAGACGCAGAGGAAGAAGGGGCAGGGGAAGAGGAAGACGCGAGACCGGTGGGCTCGAGTCCTTCTGCGCCTCCTTCACTTTGTCGGAGTGCGAGATTGAGGCTGCGACGTCCCCACGGTTTCTTGTCGAGGAACTTTAGCTCTTGCTCTGCGCGAGATGTGAGCTCGTCATCGTCTGGCAGCTGTGTGAGATCGCGGCCATGTAGCCTGTGCAGCGAGTCGCTACCTCGCGGTAAGCGCCAGTAGTGCAAACCTCGTGGGCCGGCGGACGAGTCACGCTCCAACAGCGAGTCGTATGCGTCCTCTTGCGCATCTGTCTTTGCTCCCGAAACCGAGAGTACGCAGAGCCCGAGGCAGAGGAGAGCGTGGGACAGCTTCATGGATATTCTTGTTGGTCTTGCTGGCGGTGATTGTGATCGACTGGTGAGTGTCAGGTGCTCTCGATGTAGAGAAGGCCGGCTCCTCGTGAGGTTGCGCTGGGTAGATTGTGGGTTGCAAGGTAGAGAAGTCGGAGAGGATGACAATGAGCGCTAGCACTGGTTGCAAGCGCCCTCTATATCCTCCGCCTTGCCACCTGGTTGCCGTTGAGAATGACTAGGTATGTCCGTCTTGCGGTGAGCAATAGCAAAAACCATTGCCTTCGAATATTGCTATGGTCAAGATCGTACATTGCGACGACGCAAGTAAGCAATTGCAGTTGCGCACATGTCTCGACCACCAAGGCGTTGGTCTTGCACCGGAGGGAGAGGGACCTCCGTGAGGGCTACATGCAAAAATGTGGTAGTATTGACAGTCGCGCTGACTGACTGGGTAATGGTGACAACTGAGAAAGCGATACAAGAACAAGAACGAGAAGCTTCGGGGAAACACCGAGAATCACAAACGTACGAGACTATGTGCCACGCGACTGTGGCGGGCCGTATTCTATCCAACTATTGAGCCAGAGCTCGAGCCCGGACTCCTCTCACTACGCACAATTAGGCGTACTTCTTGACGTCCTCTTCAGTGGGGCCCTTGGGGTCCTCACTAGCAGCCAGGTTGCACTGGTGGAAGATCCTCACGTCCGTCTCTTTGAAGGCGCCGACGACGGAGTGGAGTGTGCCAGCATTGTGGAAGAGACACATGTCTCCCTCCTTCCAGTCGTGTGCGTAGACCTTCTCGGGGGCAATTGCGGGACGCTGAATGGAGTAGACGAGGTCGCGGACCTCCTTGATGTCGGTCAGGTGTGCGCCCTGAGGGTAGAGGGTGTTGGCGTCGAGTGTGGCGCCGGCGGGGAGAGGGTCGATGAGGATCTGGTGGACTGCCGAAGGGTGAATCTGCAGGTGGAGCTTGCCAGTTGAAGGGTTCTTCCAGCACATTGGGAGAGTCTTGATCTTGCTCTCCTCCCAGGCTGGGAGCTCATCGAGGGAGAGCTCCTTGCCTTCGCTCACCAGTCCCAGTCCGAGGGAGTTGGAGGCGGCCGAGCTCATCCAGATGTAAGGGTGAGGGGCGTACCTAACCTTGGCCCTCACGGCAAGGGACTTGAGGTGGTCGGGCAGGTCCTCGAACATGGAGATACCGGAGACGAAAGCGGTGGTTCCCAGAGGGACAGGCAGCTCATCGCCGGTACCGTCGTCGTAGCGGAGGGTCTGAGGAGCTCCCTGAGGGACGGAGAGGGCGTAGAGGGTGGTGACCCTGGGGGTAGAGAGATCGTACAGTGCCGAGTCAATGTGCCAGCGGTAGAACCTGTGGTTAATATAAGAGAAGAGCGACCGTTTTAGTTGACTGCTGCAGGCACTCCCTGCCTACCCCTCGCTGCTGCGACTCACCTGGTGACCTTTTCGTCCTCCTCGTCGGACACGGCAGTCTTGTGGAATGTCTTGTGGTGTGGGTGCTTCAGCTTGATGTTCTCCAGTCCCTCGTGCTCTGCCACTTTGCCATTTCCAATGACCTGCACCTGAGGCTGCCGTGGGATAGTCTTGAGATCAGGGTGAAGGATACTCTTCTCCTGTCGGCCCTTGTTGCCATGTCCGTAGGAGGTGGCTCCGGGGTCGAATCGCTGAGTGAGCTCGTACTGCTTCTCTGGTGAGAGCTTGGTGGAGGGGAACACGAGGACAGAGTGCTTGTAGAGTGCCTGCTGGATCTGAGCAAAGGTCTCGTCTGTGAGAGAGGAGAGGTCGATGCCCGATGCTACGCGGCCGAAGTCCGGGTCGAGCTTGCGGGTGGGTGCGCCGGGGAGCGTCTGAGAGGGGAGGGGTGCGAGTGTGAGAGTGGACATGGTGGGCTTCGAGTACAAGGCAGATGGTTGATGGTATGAAAGAGGGAGATGGTGTTGATCTGATGATGGGGTCGATGGCAAACCACCAATCGTCCACTCGCCGCCCTTTATCAACTCCCCCGCCCCCCCCCGCACGGAGCACGCCCGGAGAAGGCGGGATGCCGCGGGCTGCCGGCAAGCCGCTTCCGTGCGTCCCTTGGCCCACGCCACCTCCCCGCGGCTTCCGTTCCTGCTCACCGCGGCCACCCACGATGACAAAACGCTCTAATCCTACGTGGATATGTAGATGTCTGTCTCGGTACACCGAGAGAGCAGGCATGGAATAGACGGAGATCAGCCCTGACAATCGCTCGGTCGGCATTTGAGCGGCAAGGAAAGACAGCTTGGCCACGATTAGATTACAAGCAGCCACAGCCAGAGTGCAGTACAGACCAACAAAACGGCCCTTCCTACAGTAGTATCAGGACACAGCAGTGGCACGTATAAGACATCAAGGAACATACTCGGACTTCCCGAGGAACACACCCGTAGATGACGATGATCGGTTCAAGCTGGCTCGCCTTCTGTTGGTATACCTGGAGAAGTGTTTCCCATCCTTGCGAAGTCCTCTTCATCTTGGGATCTCTTGAAGACAAGTCCCTGTGCGTCTCGAGGCATGCACTAGGCCGTCTACGACCTCCTGGACTCGGAAAGCAGGCTCCTCTGACTTTCCGTTCGTTTTGCGCTGGATCTTTGCCAGTCTACTCAACTGGTCTGCCTTGTCCCACCTTTCCTGAGAAACTCCAAGCTCCTCATAGCTGCCTCTTTCCACTTGTTGGTCTCTGTCTCCCGGAGGTCCCCCAGAGAAGCGCGTGCCTTGTTTGCTAATTCCTTTGCAGCTTCTGCTGCCTCTGTTGCCTCTGGCTGAGCAGCGGCGTGGTGCAAAGCAGGCATAAAGGGCCAAACGTCGACCTTTGCAAACACCCCACTGGTAGAGTAGACGTCCTTCTCCACTGCCTTGCGTGCTTCTTCCTGACTCTCAGCCATGACCACCAGCACACTCCCGATGATGCTCTTGACCTTCTCCTTTCCCTCGCCTGCTTGTCCGTGGTCTTTGGAGAGGAGTGCACCGCCTAGTGTGATTCTCCCATTCTCGTGTCCCTCTTTGGCTCCCGCGAGGTGTTCTTCGCGAACAGAGAGGCGGGTGGAGAGGGCATCGGGCGCGTCTTGAGCTACGATGAGGTAAGGGTGGAGCACAGAGGATGTAGGCCTAGTGTACGGGCCTGCTGCTAAGGTGCAAGGTGTGCTAGAGAAGAAGCGCGGCGCAGAGGGAGAGGCGAGGCAGACGGAGCGGGCGGGCTGCTGCGCACATCGAGCCAGGAGGGAGAAGGCCATGGTGACGTTGGGCAGAATAGTGGTGGTACGGCGAGCTGCGAGTCGTACGATGGAAGACAGAGATGAGGGATACAAAGATTGACCGAGGAAGGAAGGGTGATGCGTGTGGGGAAGGACCAGGGCGGTGGTGGGCTGCTGCTGCTGCTGCTTTCGATTGCTTCTCTTCCCTATCGCCCATTCCATCCTTCCCCGCACGGCAAAAAGTGAAAGCCGAGCCCCGAGAGAGATAAGGGACAAGCGAGGTGCTTATGTAATTGCCGAACTGCCCCCCCCCGGCTTACTCCACCTTCCGTTCCGATGCGCGCGAGAGTGTTGGACTCCAAGGGCGGTGCCCCCCAAGTGGCCAGGCCCGTGACCTGCGAGGGCGAGATGCAGGAACAGAGCCCCGCCGAAGCTGTCGCCCCGATGGCCGCCTACCAGATCCTTCCTCTCGGATAGACTCCTTGAACGAAGGCTTCTGGGTTCCCATCCACTGCTTCTTCGTCGTCTTCCACTCACTTCCTCAGTCGCCCGCCATGTCATCCCCGGTGATGCTGCATTCACAGCTGCCTCCAACCCACGCCTCCTCGCCTACCATAGCCACCGCTCTCCTCCTCCGTACGCCAATCTCCCCAGCAGAAGGGACAGACGCCTACCACGATGCATTCGGCACATTCTGCCTCCCCTCCTTCCCCATGAGCGCACTCGACTCGGGAGCCACCACGCCCGTTGCGGCTGGATTCAGCTTCGGCATGGCTGTCGGAGGCAGAGCGGGTGGAAGCGAAGGGGAAGCTCAAAAGGAAAGGATGCGAATGAGTGGAACCGGTGCGGGGTCATCCAGGGGAGATGGAGGAGCCGCACCAAGACCAGAAGAACAGCTTCTGCAGGCTTTGCAAAGGCAACAGCTTAGCATCAACACAAACGGCAGGGACAAAAGGGCAGGTTCACCACATCGCAACTACGCACGCACGCAGCCGACGTACGACGACAGTCAACCGTCGTCCCCATCTTCTCCGTCTGCTCCGAAGAAGGAGAGACAGGCTTCTGAATCGCAGGAGACTCCCCCTCGCAAGACTTCATTTGTGCTGACAACGCACCATGCTACCTCGTCGAGCGCTGCCTCTTCCTCTACCAAAGATTCGAGGGAATGGTGCGTGACGAGTATGCAGGTCTTGTCTTCTCAGAGCTGCAATCATGACGACTTCGATCGGATGCTGAGCGAAGGACAGTGGGCGGGAGTAGTGGCTACGAGCTCCAGAGCCTGGGACAATTGGAAGGCGGCAGTGAAGCGGTGTAAGGCCAAGGGCAAAGGTGAGCGTCCCACATGCCGCTCCCGAAATATGACGCCGGTGTTCTGATGTCTCTCGTTCTGTCTCTTACCTCACAGCACCAACTACAAACTGGCAGCAGACACCGTTCTTCCTCATCTCTCCCCGAGCTGCAGCCACTTTCCGCTCCTCCACCCTCGAAGGCTTACCCACTGAGTGGGCGCCGTCAGCGACAAAGGCTTTCGGATGTCCGGCCAATGCAAAGAACCAAGGAGCGGATGCCGAGGGAAAGGGAGCAGGAGAGGCGCTGGGTCAGTACATCGTAGGATGGCTGCAACGGAGAGCTGCACCTGCTCCTCTAAGCGCCACTTCCGCCTCGGGTGAACAAGCGCCAGCCACGGCTAGACCACCGCTGCTGCTCTTGCAAGGAGACAAGTCTCTGCCGGCCCTGCCAGACATTCTCGCAAAGAATGAAATTCCTTTCGAAACCATTCGAGTCTACGAGACGTGCGAAGATTCAAGTCTGCAAGACAATCTGAATCGTCTGCAGCTCTTCTACACAGGTCTGGGCATCCACGATGTTGAAGAAGAGGCCACGCTTTTGCTCAATAGTGCCGAGGACGTGAGTCTGGAGTTGCAGGCTCCGAGCGGCGGAGCCAGACCGGACTGGATCGTCTTCTTCTCTCCATCCGGAGTGGACTATTCGGCGAGACATCTGCGGGCGCTGGGATGGCTGCCACCTGCCTTAGCAGCAAACGAAGAGACCGAAGCAAGTGATGTCGACATCGGCAGTACGAGTGTGGACTACCCCCGGTACGTGGCTCTCGGACCTACCACGGCAAAGCATTTGCGCGATCAATACGGATTATACACAGAAGCGGACTTAGCCAATGCCAACGGCGTATCGTCGGCTTCTCTTTCGGCCTCTCTAGATCAAGAGGAAGCAATACTTCCAGAAAGCAATGGCAAAGAGAGCGGACATAAGAATGGTGCAGCAAAGCCAACGAAGGATTGCGGACCTACACAGAGTAGGGTCTCCGTGTTCATTGCTACCAGCACTGATCCAAAGGGCGTCAGAGAGGCGATCAAACAGGGCGAAAGAGCGTCCGTCTGATCACCGGTCAAAGCGAGAAGACCGAGACGTATACGCCAGAGAGGCCTGCATGAATCGGCAGGTCGGAGTGAGCAGATCGAGCCAAGTCAGAGCGGTAGCAAAGCAAAGAGCTCTTCCGCTGTAGGAGCAAGCCCTTTTTCGGACGACATCGCTTTGTTCAGCGTGTTCAAGAAGGTTTGGGAAGCGAGCAGTCCAGCGCCATTGACGCCAAGCGCTGCTGTTGCTACGTCGTTGCGGCAACACAGTGCCCGTCATGTTCCGAAATATATGGTCCTCCGGAAGCTCCGAGTCCCAGCTTGCTTGAGTCTCGGGCAATACGGAGCGGACTTCTGCTGTCTGGTTCAAAGGGCTCGCTCGGACTGTCGGCTATGTAGAAATTAGGAGGAGAGAGGGCAAACTTGCTACATTCTTTCGCCCAGCATGCGGAGGATTTATAGACTGTCAGGACCCTCCCACGTTTCCTCCATTATCCGTACTCCCGATAATTACGAGACTCAACAGCTACCTCCAGCAAGTCATTGAGTAACCCGACTTCTTCGCCTCAGAGACTGTGGATCAGTCGTATCACCTGTTCAGTACGGGTCAACATAGCTGACCCCTACGTCGCAGACTACTTCTCACAAGGCGAGACACAATGAGACTCCAGCGAGCCGGGCTCACCTTCGCCTTCGTCGTCATTGCTCTTCTGGCTTTAGTGGCTCCGAGCGCGAACGCTTGTCAGATTCTGCAGACGGGAACCGCTACGGAAGCGAGATCGCCTATTGGAGGTAAAGGAGGGCAGGTCTGCTCTCCTCACCTGCGTCTGCGTAGCTACGCCGAAAGCATTCCCGTTCATGATACAAAGCATCCTCGCGCTACCCAAGAACGAGACAGCCGCCCTCTCCCTCTCCTCCGCCGAAAACTCGATCAGCCCCCTTCCAGTCCCGTGCGACAAGGCAGAGAGTGGGCACAGCGCCTCGCCGATCCTGGCGCGCAAGAGGAGGCTTACCCTCTCAGCCCACCACCGGACGAAGCTTGGCGCCAATTCGTACCGCAGAACGTGAGGGACCGACATAGACGACATCAGCAGAGCTTGTGGCAGAGGGTCCGTGGAAGATTGGGTAGGTTTGTGGGATGCGGGAGACGATGTAATGGTGCTTCGAGGCACTGAGCGGGGAGTAGCACTTGTGAGACGAAAGGTCGGCGCGCAATGCTGTCCTCGGAGCTTTTTCAGACGCAAATGCATACCAAACAAGCATATCGGCTGTCGTTGAATCGATCGATGATGGGTGACCGCTCGCAGGCGGAGAAATTTGTCTGGTAGAGGCAACAGCAAGGGCGTGGGCGTGGGCGCGGGCGTGCGCCTGGGTGTCGCCTCTGCAAGTCCAATTGCCATTCGAATGGTACAATCGAATACGCACTGCCTCATCCTTTTGCGACCCTGACGCGAAGCGACAGAAGCAACAGCAACGTCGTTGGCGTCTCCAACGCCGGGACAAGTTTGCAGACCAGGCCTGTGGATCGCGATGCAGTGCAATGCTCTTCGAGGCAAGGAGCAACGCGTGAGTGGGCAAGTTTGCTGCCGGGCATCGTCCACTCGCAGACGTTTGGTGTATGACTGAGGTGCGGCATCGGGGCTGAGACTGCCACTGCAGAGCTGCACGTTGCGATTGCGCACATTGGATATTTGGGATCGGGAGGATGTGACAGACTTGGGCTACAGGATTGCTGCTGGGTTGAGACGCAAAGTATGGTACGGTGTAGGGCCGCATTGCTGATGTTCGATAGGTGGCGAGCTCGGCGGGGAGATTACCGATGCGCCTGCCTGTCCTGTAGCGCTAGCTCCTCTACAAGAGCGCCCGGGACTTACATAAGTACTGGCGCCTTCGTGCCAAGAATCCCACTTCGTCCCCTAACCACAACCTCTACATCATTCGAGAACTTCTGCTACTCTCGACCAAGTGTGAAAGCCGGCTTTCACCCTCAGAGAATCTTAGATCTCTCCCCTCCTATTGCTGTACCTCCTTACGATCACACAAGCGCTTCTCGCAATGAGGCTTATTAGCACACTCGTCCTTCTCTTCGGCTGTGTGGCTCTGGCAGTCACTGCTACTACCGCCTCTACCACCAGTCTGCCTGCAGCCGGCCCGCCTCCCGGTCTCGGAACACCTCCATCCAACTTCGACAGGCGGCCTTCTTCCCCACCTTACCGCTACGTAAAGATGTACCGCAGGACCACGGGCTACGTTAAGCCCGTGCCATCAGCCCCGCCTCTGCCGTCGAAGGGCACTTGGCAGCGCACTTTCAGGATGCATAGGTTGCCACCTGGTCTTCAGAAGAAGATTTCGGAAGATTATGGGAAGAAGCGCAAGTGGGGTAGAATGACCAATGGTAGCTAGAGGGAAGCAGAGGCACGCAAATCCTCTTCATTGGCCATGAGAAGGAGCTGATCATGCATTGTCTCGATGCAAATGAACCTTTGTGAGGTTGGAATGTCAGCTGCTTCTCGTCCTTGCTACGGGAGGCACGACAAGTGGAAGAGAATGTAACAGTCGCCTGAGTTGCGACTCAAGATTCAATGTTGAGCTAGCAAAGATTCGAGCTACAGAACGACACGTCAGATAGGACGCAATTGTCTCCACTTCTTATCACGCTGGTACTCAGGCCCGAAGCGCAAGGGAGAGGAAAAGCAGAAATGCTGAAAGTCTCATTCTGTCCGACATGTTGAAAAGTCTCATTCTGTCCGACATGAACAGTATCACGCATCTTGCCCGCTGCCTAATTGGTCATCTTGCACCAGACCTTCTTGAAAAAGCTCTTGTCATCGCAATTCTCCTTGGCCTTCGGAGGCCCATGTGGATTGGGATTATTGATGACAACGACCGCGCCTGTGACCTGTACGCCACCTTTCTTGTTCTTCTTGCCATTATCGTCCTTGCTCCGTCCCTCGAGGAGGGAGGGGCCAGCTCCGCTTTGTGAGATTACGACGTTCGGGACAGGAGCAGGAATTGCAGTAGAGGCCCCCCTAGGTGCGAGCGAGCGAGGTGCAGGAACCTTGCGAAGCGTGTGACGATGTTGTAGAAGGCCCACTGGTGTGGAAAGGACCAGTGCAGCTTGCAGTACGAGCGCTACTGCCAGCAAAGCCAGTGTGAGACCTCCCATTTCCTTCGCAAAGAACAGATGCTGACCCCGGTAGTTGTACGGCTCCAGCGGTGGATGTAGAGCTGCGCAGTGGTGTGGATGTTGCGATGGAATCGGCCTGCGATTGGAGGCTGTAGTGACGCGGAGACGGCGATCAGAGTGTTTGAAGCGCAAGGTAGCGATGAAGATCTAGTTGAGAAGCACGACCCGGGAGGCGATGGCGTCTCACCGATTATGAAGGCTGCTGCTTTGCTATCGACACCGCCGTTGCAGTGTTGCGCCAGAGCAACATGGAGTGTCGAGTGGAGTGTTCGTTTCAGTCCTTATAGCAAAGCTCGCGGCAGCGTGGTAAGCCAAGCAGCAATGTCAACCAGCTACTGTCAAGGTATGACGGGAGCCATCCTCTCTCGGGACATCAAGGAGATGACGTTGCCCGGAGCAGACCTCCATGTTTGAACAGTCTATCTCAGCAGCGGAAGCTGGAACGACATCAAGCGTGTCTTCTCTTCGCCTGCTCCATACAGGCTAAAGTCTTTCTTGCAGAAGCTTCATCAGACACTACAAAACAAGCTTTGATGATGCTGTTCAATCATTTGCGCTGGGTCTGGACCCTATCGCTCATCGCCAGTCTTGCCCTTACTTCTGTCGCCAGCCATGTATCTCGCGAGCGCCAGCCCATCGCAGCCCGCCACCTCGAACACCGCCTGGAGCCTAGGTTCAGAGGCCTCCCGAGCTTCAGACGCAGACCGCGACCCCAATACAACCCCGAGGGAGTGGCAAGTGGGATTCATCCCGCCTTGGGCGCCCTTCTTAGGTGGGACAACAGGCGCATTCAAGCTAAGTCGCGACGAGCGGGGGAGCGTGCGCAAAGCAGTGTACAGGTGGAGCCCTTTCAGGCACAGCAGCCAATGGACCGACAGACTCTTGCAGACGCTTCTTCGCCCGATTCCAATATAGCCAGCCCAGAATGGTTTACACCACCACAAAGTCCACTGGAGCAGCCTTCTAGCCCGGCGCTGAGGACGAGCAAGCAGCAGAAGAAGAAGAAGTGGTGGAAGCCTGGCGGCAATTCTCTGCCGAAGTGCTTTTCTTGTTCGGCGGTCAACGAGTGAAGGGTGAGGGAGCCTGAACGAGACGCACAGTTGAGGACGCACTACGACAGCTGGTGGTTGTATCTGTGTTCTCGTATGCAGGAGCGAAGGGGGGGCCAGACTTCGAAACCCCTAAACCACTGTATTGCCGAGCATCTGCAGCCTCCTTGCAGACTATCCCGTTTGTTGCAAGTGGTTCCTCATGTACGCTCGTGTGGGTTGCCCAGGTACGCCTACTAATTGCCCGTATCAGGTACACATAACCGCGGAGCATTGGTTGCGTGCCTGACTAGGATGTCTGGAACTTCTGTGCCGTCTGGGGATACGCGAAGAGCGTCACATAGAGAATCTAGTACCCCCATAACCTCTTCGAGTATCTTCCCAGTGACCTAGTGATGGTCTTGTTCCGAGCACCTCGTAGAACACTTTTGTCTTCCTGACTATACAGTCCTTACGTCACCGCTCTCCTCGCCATGCCAAACGGCTTCATCTCGCCGGACTGGCGCTACTTCAACACTTCCCTTCCTGATTTCAATTGGCTCTCGGCTATCTCCTTGGTAGAGCACGAGCATGATGACAGCAATGGTCGCCCGCCCATCGAGCTACTGCGGGCACACATCTCGCAGCCCTTTCGCATCCCCGTCTCTAAGGCCTGGATAGGGCAGATGGAGGCAGCGATGGCAATCAAGTCGCTCTTGATCTTTCTGGCGTGCGCTATCATCTGGAGGCGATGGAGCGAGATGAGCTTCTGGATATTCCGCAAGCAGGAGAGGAGAGATGGTGTTTTGCTCATACCGAATGCCGTCACTTGTGAGTACGGACACACAGTTGTCGTCGCAACCGCCGATTCCGAAGCTGATGCAGTCGTTCTCTGCCCCAGCATTCATGGCTCTAGAACTTGTCTTTGGCTCTGTATGGATCGCTTACATCATCGACCAGCTTAGGGTGGTACACGGTCAGGCCTCTCCCGTCCGACTTTGCGCTTGGCTGGGCTTGACTTGGCTGCCGTTGATCCAAGGCGCGTGGTTCGCGGGATGGGGTACCTTCTTCGCGTCCCCTCTGCAGCCCGGAGGAAGTGCGCTAGATACGGCTCCCCCGGAGAATACTTCGAAGCTGTTCCCCTCCCCCTTCAGGGGACTGACTGCCCCTGCGCTTAATGTGATCATGGTTGCTGTGCCATTGCTGCAGGCATTGCCTATCTGCGCCTTGACTGCACTGGCATCAATACGATGGAAAGTAAGTAGCAGCGAGGTATGCTCGAGGTCGCTGTGAAGCTGAACATTCATGTTCTTGCGCAGGTTGCCGTGGATAAATGGCAAGCCCTAGATGACGAGCTAGCCTCACTGATCGCGGCGGCTGGATCTTCGCGAGATCCCAGAACATCTTTGCGAGTCACTGACCCTTTGAGGAACCAAGCGCTGGCTGTATGGATGTCAGCAGACTCTGCCATAGGATCCATGGAGCATGTCTTCTGGGCTTGGGTTGCTTCGGCGGTGGCCTTCACCGCTTTCTACGCTATCACAGGAGGAACTCTTCTTCTACAACTTCGTCGCGAAGTGACGTACTTGAGGCGGGCAATGATCAACAGTGCCAAGTCTGCAGAACGCGAAGCCAACGTCGCCCCGGTCGCGAACGACGAAATTGCCTTGATCGAGACTGGAAAAGTTCCAGGGTTTGTAGCAAGGCACTCTGAGGAGATCCTCCTGCGAAGTACTGACGAGTCGTTTCTGTCTCTGACATTTGCCGCTTTAGCACACACAGGGCCTTTTTCTGGCCAAACATCAAAGGACTGAAAGCGATAGAGAAGAGGACAAACTCACAGTCGCGTAGCAGCAGCTCCCGTCGGGCCAGATCGAGTCGCAACGCAAAGTATGAGACGATGAAGCGTGTCGTACTGCTGATTGGCATCCAGGTCGGCTGTATCTCCGCTGCCGCCGCTGGCTTTTCCGTCATAGCTTTGGGCATAGCACTCGAGCTTCGCAGGTCGATCCGACTCCACTACTTCGATATGGTGTACATGATAGCCAATCTCGTAGCAGCATGGACCGCTTGCATTTTCGGGGGCGCCAGTGAGTGCGACCGATCAGAGATTATCGAAAGCCGGCGTTATTGATCTCCCCGTCGTCACATCCCACCAGTTTTCCTTGCAATCACTGCACGTACGTTCGAATTCTTGACCGACATCGTCGTTGCCGCTGCTCGAGGTAGTCCTCTTGCCTATCGCAGCCGGCGTGGTACTCAAGAGGATACCGTGGGGAAGGGCTCGGGTCTTCAGCAGGACAGCAAACGTAGTGACCAAGCGCTGCATGCCACAAGGAAGCGAATGTCGGCCAGACTAGGTCTCTCGGCACCCTTCTCTGGTCGGGGAAAATCTGCAAGACACTCCCTGAGTGTGCCAAAGGGCCATCTGCAAATGGATGACTCGATCATCGTCGGCACCGAAGGTTCGGACGGCAAGCCCAGAGTGTCATTCGCTGGCGAGACCGCCACAATACCTACACCGAAGGACGCCAGACCAAGTGCACCGGTCAAGAAAGGCAAATGGGGTCGCCGAGGTCTGCTTGGGATGACCTCTGCTGAACGAAGCGTATGGCAAGATGACTCAATCATCCTTGACGTCCATGAGGGCCAAAGGGGTCCGGAAGAGCTGCATGAGGCTGGCCGAGCTGTGATAACCCCTCGGAGTCTCGGCGACAATCGAGGCAGATCGGGCAGCGTTGGCAGTAACGAAACGCTTCAGTATCGAGTCGTAGAGGATCTGAGGCGTGGGCTTACCCCACCTCCGCGAAGGCCAAGCTCGATCCGCCTCGACAAGCGCCAGGTAGTTGCCGACACGCCGAGACGGATCACGCAAGCACTGGACGCCTCATCTCCCCGACCATACCCGTCAAACGGTCTGCGATCCCCCGAAGCTGCCCATATCCGCAAGGCTGGCTCACCGGTTAGTCCCTTCGAGATGTATGCATGTGAGCATCAAAGAGCTCGGGATGATGATTATCACGATCCGCTCGGAGCCAGCTGTCTGAGTCGAGCTCAGTCGAAGTCTAGCCTAGGGGCCGCTTACGATGTCGAGTATATGCGAGGTTCGGCGCAGACGAGTGCGTCCCTTCGTTCCTGCGAGACAGGCAAAGGCTCGAGCTTTGACCCGTGAGGAGATGGCCGTGTCAAGTGTGTAGGAATGTCTTCGGAGGCTGCGGCACCTGTGTGAGGGCCCGAGATGACAAGTCGTCGCACATTGTGAACATCTATGTGCGTAGAAGCACAGTGTGCAGAGTGTGCTTGGCCGTACGGACGTGATAGAGTAGCTGGGCTGGGCCTTGCCTCGACGGTTGCGCGTGGGCAAATCGCCGGCCTCGGCCTCGAGCGCCGCGGAGAGATTGATGCCCCGCTTTTGTAACTCCGCCGGCATACACCCTTCCTTCGTTCGGCAGCAGCGCGTGTGTGTGTGTGCGGGTCGGGCAGAGCGGGGGAGCAACATCCTACCTCGGTCGTCGTCCTACCCTTCCTCCTCTCCTTCCTGCCAGACGCTCTGATAGCACTCACAACACCGCAGCGTGTGCTTTCACGGCAGCCTCGTGTCTGTGCAGACGCCCTGGCTGAGAGCCGATCGTCCTCTGCTGCCAAGCTGGCCTACCCGCGTCTCATCCGTCCTTCCGCCGCCCCCCGGCAGCGGCATTGCAAGACCACCGTCACGCTCACAAGGAGCCATCGCAAGTCGCCATCCTGCGCCATCTCGCATCCGTATCCCGATATGGGTCTCTCGGTGGCCTAGATGCCATTCAAGCCGCCAAGACATTCGTTTCAACTCCTCTGCTCTCATCTGCTCTCAGCTAGTGCTTCATGGAAGGCCCTCTTGCCTCCATATCACACCCTCGGGTGGATCCCGTCATACTCTCTGTTCGATCAGCGCTGGAGCGACTGCAGTCCCAAGTTGCGCCCACTGCGTCATACGTGTCAGCATCTCTGCTGGCTAGTCTTGATGCGGTCTCCTCCCGCTTGCCTTCGGCCCAAACGCTCGAGCTTGAAGCTCGTAAATATCTAGCAGCCACACTCAGCTTGGCCCGGGCTGCAGGCGCTCATTCTTCCGATGTCTTGAGTACTGCGCGTAGAAGAGAGGCAGGATATGTCAAGGTCGTGGAGAAATGGTACCCAGCCGCCGTCCAAGGCTGGACTACCTTTGAGCATCAGGTCTTCCTTCTGAGCAATGGGACTGTAGAGGGTGCCTTGCTCAGGGGAATTGTTGTTGGGCTAGGTGAGTTGGGATTCTGACTAGACAGATTCGCTTCGGCGTTTGCTTTCTGATCAGGAGTATATTCGAATACCTTACCACTCATCCATCCCTCGTTTCCAGCGCTTTTGATCTTCTCGCTCACCCTCTTATCGGCGAGGAACCGAAGGTCTATGTCTGTTGCATACAATGGGAAGCCTTCGGTGATGTCTGCCCTCAGCCAGACAGAGACGTCTACGTCAGGCGATGACTCATCGTACACATCGGAAGACGGCACAGACGACGAGCTTCATGACAGACCCTTGGCTGCCCTGAGGCGCTCGACCTCTCCCCTTGGCAGGAGCAGTCAATCTCCTGCCGGTCGGGCGTCAAGACACTTTGCAGTAGGCTCTGCTTCCAAGCGAGCCGACAAGAGGTCCAGTATTATCAGGATCACATCTTCCGATCCCAGCTCTAGTCTATGCCACATGCCCGTGGAGCTTGACTTGCTATCGCCAACGTCTTCCTCTTCCGCTCAGAGGAGCTCCTCGCCAAGTCAGGCAGCAGCACTCGCCGTCTTGAAGAGACGCAGGAAGAAAGTGGGTGTCAGGGTCATCAATAGCGATTCGACACCATTGGAAGACGAAGTCGCGGCCATACTGGCAAAAGATTCGGACACAGCAGATGAGGGCGGCACCAGTCCACGATTGTCCAGAATCGCACTGGAACCGGACGCCCCGGCTAATGCTCAGCGAGTCCCCTCTCCAGCGGCCGACGGTCAAGGCCAATCGAGCCACTTGATGGCTTCAAACACAGTCCTTCGGGCCCCGTCACCTCTGAAGAACGCGACCAAGAACCGACCACCCATGCGAGTGAAGCGCTCCCCATCGCCTCTACCGCCAGACGCGCCCGAGCCTATCCCAGAACGCAACTCTTCCTATCACAAGCTCAACGGAGTCGTTCAGGCTATCAAGCCGCGAGTTGTAGGTGGCGATAGAACCGATGCTCCACCAAGCATCTTGAGGAAGAAGAGTCAAGTCTGGACTGACCGTCTTGTCGAGGAGGAGGCAAGTGCAAAGATGTCGAGGAACGGCAGTCGCAGTACTGCCAAGCAAGACGTCAACGAACTCGCAGCAACAGGACAGACATCTCCGATGTCTACCACTCGGGCGGCACAACGTGCTCCGACTGGCTCAAACATAGAAGCATGGAGATCGTCGACTCTCGTCGTGGGCTCTCAGCCTCTTCAATTATCTGACCAAAAGCTCAAGACTTTGAGAGCAATCAAGTTGACAGAACCTGACTGGGCACCCTATGTGACCATTCACGAGAGGGCCCGGGAAAGAGTAGAGAAGAAACGCGAAAAGGACGCAGCCAAGAAGAGATTGCTGACCACTAGTGCCGGTAGCACGAGAAAGGCGACCTTGACTAGCCCCACTGGGAGCGTCAAGAGGAGGGAGTCTATCAGGAGGCGGCGAGAAGAGCTTCGCCTTCGCGCAATGGGCGAGGAAGAAGGAGACGGCACCGGCGATGGTGGCGAGCTGGGCTACTCTTCTTACTTCTCGCCTAGTCCTAAAGATGAGCATGGCTACGAAGTGAGCGCAAGCGGCTCTCGTGGGGCAGACACTCCCCGAGGTTCCGGATCAGGATCGACGACGCCGCGACGACGCAGCTCTAATGGTAACCAGCACCAATCGGGTCGACTCGGCAAGTCAGTGCTGTCCCCTTCTCCCTCATCTCAAGGGGTGAATCGCAGCGATGAGCCTGGCGAGGCGGGAGACGCCCCTGCCGATGCCGATGCCGAGTCGGACTTCTGGTTCGAGCGGTACATCCCTTCTACTGCGGCTGCAGGAAGAGACTGGGACTGGCGGAAGCGTCGTGCGCGACTGCGTGCGGAGGCGGAAACGGTGCAGAATAGCAGCTTTGTAGAGAGCTTGCGTGCGAAAGTGGACGAGGACGGAGACGAGAGCTACACTATGGACTTTGATGGGCAAGGCGTGTCCGGAGGTGAAGCCAATGGTAACGGCCATGCTGCTACAGATAGCAGTGGTACTGCAGCAGTCCCAGCGACAGCAGATAGTGGTGCACAGTACGTCATCAACGGGCACGTCTTCTCGCACGGTCTTGTGGGGGCTTCTTTGGGATACACGCCTGCTGGAGGGGCTCGTTCTTCACCCTCGAGGAACAGCCCCGTGGGCGGATCAAGGGAGAGACGCAGGTAGTGTGTCCGATGCCTCTTCATCCCTTGAATTCTCGACGATGTGGGACCAGGCAGTCGAGTCCGGACTTGACCTCATACCGGTCTGTGCGGTCAAATTCAGCAGGGCGGGATGCCCATCTACACTTTCCTTTCAATCTATCCCGACGCATTTTGTATATTCCGACTGCGTTGCGACGTACAGCATACATGTTTCCCACGATTCTGCGTGTGATGACCCGCAGTTGTCCTCCCTTCCAGCGATCGAGCCTTTGCCATGGCCGGCGGTGGAGAGCTTACGCAAGACAAGATGGGCGGAGTTTGAAGTCCAGGTGTGAGCAGGGGCCACCTTTGCAAAGATGTGCCGGAAGTGAGAAAGTCCTCCTCCCTGCTACCCGTACCAAGCTTTGCATTCCCTACCATCGTCTCTCCTTTCGCCTTTCCTCCTGATTCTTTACCTGTTTTGCTTGTCAGCCTCTGTGATGGTCGCGCCGCAGCCCGATGGCAGCTCTGCTCCCTCACAAGCTCTCAGCTCGAGCGCCTCCTCCTCCTCCACTTCCGCCGCGTCCACCACTCCCTACCTCACCCTCAACATCCCGCAAGCGCTCTCCCTGCCCGAGCCAGAAGCACCAGAAAAGAAGCGCTACGACTCTGTATGGGACCTCTTTCTGCATAGAGCGAACCACGAGCTGAAGGACCAAGTTGCGGCTGGGTTCGCTGAGCTGCATGAGGAGACAGGAGAAGATGGTGGGAATTGGGGCTGTACTAGTCTGAGTGAGCATGAACGCCGCCAAGGGAGAGACACAGGACCTATGCTCACGTCGTTCTTCATCCCACAAACTACTGCTTGTCGCATCTTCCACAGCATACGGTCAGCTCCCTGGAATCGCTTGCCGTATAGCTTCGACCCTCCGGCCACAGCTCGAAGCTGCCTCTTCGAAGATCTCGCCTGCCGATCCAGCCCTTGCGCCCCTCATACCAACACCGACCGTCGCCATAATCTGTCCATCTGGACTCGACTTCTTCGTATACACCCTGGCGATATGGTCCCTCGGCTTTGCGCTGTTGCCTATTGCAGTGGGCACCACGAAGGAAGGGACAAAGAATCTCATCGAGAAGACCGGTGCTTGCGCCGTCCTCGTACATGACAGTCAGAAAAGCATCGCAGCTGAGGTGAAGCAGCTTTTCGAAGAGGGGAAGCAGCGAGCGCCGCAAATCATCGACCTTCAAGATACCCACGACCTCGTAGCAGGCCCAACATCATCAGCGGAAGACCGTCCCGTACAATCCCTCTTCACTCCCGGACCTGACTCGGTTCTGATCATCTTCCACTCCTCGGGCTCCACCGGACTTCCCAAGCCCATCTATCACATCAATCGCTTCTGGTCCTTCAGTACTGCCATGGCCTACGGGACAGATCTTGGCGCGTACACCACTACCCCGCTTTACCACGGCGGAATGTCCGACTTTCTTCGGGCCTTACAGGCAGGCTCGTCTCTCTTTTTTCACCCGCTCGTCGGGTCCAGTAGCAATACACTGAGCGTAGGAGCTATCCTCGCCGGCCATAAAGCTTGCGCTCACAAGACGCGTGCGCCGGTCAAGTACTTTCTCTCAGTGCCGTTCATCTTAGAGATGCTTTCCAAGGACTCTGCAGGCCTCGAGTATCTCGCCAGCATGGAGTTTGTCTCGACCGGGGGAGCTCCCCTACCGGCAAGTGTGGGAGATCATCTGGTTCACAACGGGATACCCCTTGTCTCTCGGCTTGGCTCGTCCGAATGCGGATTTCTTATGAGCTCGTACCGCGACTTCGAGAACGACAAGGAGTGGAGCTGGTTGCGGGTGGAGGACGCTGTGACCCGCTCTTTGCTAGACTTCAAAGAGGATAAGGACAACCAGGGTCTATTTGAGCTAGTTGTCACAGGCAAATGGCCCACCAAACTCCTTTCCAACGCAGCCGATCAGGCCTTCTCCACCGAGGACTTGTATTCGAGACACGAAGAACACGACAACTGGTACAAGTACGCCACAAGAGTCGATGATACGCTCGTGTTGCTCAATGGAAAGAAATTCGCAGCTGGCCTCATCGAGAGCAGGCTGAAGCAGAGCGAGCTGGTACAAGACTCGGTGGTGTTCGGTTCGAACAGAGCGTTAGTGGGTGCGGTGGTAATCCCAGCAAAAGGCACAAATCGCTCTGGTGATCTGTCCCCCGGCGAGAAGTACGATTACCTGCAAGCGCTCCGACCCCACATGGACGGAATCAACAAGTCCCTCCCAAGTCACGCCCGTCTGACAACGGGACTAATCCATGTAGCAGATGAGAGTCTCGCCGCGTCTATACCGCGTAGCTCGAAGGGGACTCTGCAACGAGGCCATGCCTACCGCCAACTTTCCCCGCTTTTCGACGAGACCTATGCGCGCTTCGAAGAGGGTGAGATCGAGGGCTTTCCGAGCAGAGAGAGTTTGCAGGGTGATGAGCTGCGTGACTTTCTCGCTAAGATGGTCGGGGAGATCTTGGGATGCGAAGGCGGCGAGATCAAGCCAGATCTGGACTTCTACAAGGCGGGCATGGACTCTATATCCTCGGTCCGCATCAAGGCTGCAGTGCATCAGCATCTTGACCTTGGTCTCGACGGCAATGAGCATAGGAGGCGACTCGACACTAGGAATATCTATGAACACCCTACTGTCAATGAGCTCGCTGAATTTCTAGAGGGCTTCAGCTTTGGAGGACGTACAGCCCATCGGTCTGTGACCGAAGAGATGCGAGACATGGTTGACAAGTACGCGAAGGCGCTACCAGCCTTCAAGCCACGACCGAAGACCAACGGCCCCCGCGTTGCTGTCCTGTCTGGCGCAACCGGAGCTCTTGGGTCTCATTTGCTCCTGACGCTTCTCTCATCAGGGGAGGTCGACAAGGTTCTCTGCTTGGTCAGAGCCTCGTCGGATTCTGCGGCTCTGCAACGAGTGAAAGAGTCAGTCTCCACTCGCCGGCTGAATGAAGAGATGGACAAGAAGTGGGACCAGGTAGCCTGCTTTGCAGCTGATCTCAGCGATACCGCAGAGCTTGGTATTCCCAAGAATCAAGGGTCCAGCTGTGACAAAATACGGACGAGCTTCTGGTCGAATGTTGCCTCAGCCAGTGCGCTCAGAGTCGTACACGCGGCCTGGTCAGTCAATTTTGCATTATCTCTCAAGTCTTTCGAGGCGGACAACATTGTCGGTCTAGCCAATCTGCTCAGCTTTTCGCTTGAGACCGGCGTCGAGTCTTTCGTCTTTTGTTCCTCCATCGCATCGGTATTGGCACAGAAGTCCAAACAGATACACGAAAAGCCCTCGAGCGATCCGACTGATGCAGGTGTCGTTGGCTATTCGCAGTCCAAGTGGGTCGCGGAAGGTATCTGCTCGCGGCTTTCAGCAAGCTCGGGTTCCGAGAGAGGCATGTCCATCTCGATCGCTCGGATAGGACAGCTCGCCTCAGATTCCGTGCACGGCGTATGGAACGAGAGCGAAGCATGGCCTTTGATGGTGCGCACGGCCAAGGAGATCGGCAAGCTACCTGAGATCGAGCAGGCGGTAGACTGGCTGCCGGTCGACTTAGCCGCTCGGACCCTCACTGAGATTGCGCTGCACCCTGCTGGCTCACAAGAACCTGCGATATATCATGTCCTTCTGCCTGTCGACGCAATGCGCAGCGAAGACGTCCCGACCTGGGCAGACTTTCTGGATTGGTTGCAGCGTGGCGATGACCAATACAAGGGGCTGACCTTTGATGAAGTGCCGCTGAGGGACTGGCTGGTGGAAATCGAGCGGAAAGGGAGCTCTGTCGTCCGTGGTAGGACGCTCCTTGAGGGAATCTGGAGCAAGCTGACACCGCGAGGCGGTGCGAGCGGCCTGGAGCCCACGATCGAGACTATCAAAACGCGACGATTTTCGAAGACGCTGAGTCACGATTGTAAGGCGCTCGATCGCCACATTGTACAGAAGACCGTAGACGTATGGGGACAAGATGGTTTTCTCTAGACTGTGAAATGCGATAACACTCTGGCTCCGAAAACGCCGGATAGCGGTACTATTCTTGCGAGGACTGCGCGCTACTCGAAGCAATTACAGCTGAACACGGGGCGATCGTCCCACGCGGCTGTTTGCGAACTTCACCTTGCGACAGCTGTCAGGAGATAGGCTTGTCATTGACTGCTCTTGCCGAGTCTGGAAGCAAATAGTCCCCGTCAGATCGCCCTAGCTCCGATGCTGAAGCGTGAAACGCAGCTCATCTTCTGCAGTGGTAAGCACGGGCTGTCGCAGAAGCTTTTAGGCTGACTGGAGGGCAGCAAAATTTCTGAGAAGGTCAGTCAATATGCTCGTGATCAGCGCTCGGTCCAGCTGATCCGGCTTTTTGCCGATCACAGGTCCGCGGAAAGCCTCAGCTCCGTCGGAGGCCAGACACGTGGAGGGCCTTCTCCGCGGAGCTGAGCTTATCCGCACTAACGCCGCGGAGATTAAAGCTCTTGAAGGCCGAGGCTGAGGGGCCGAGCGCAGACGGCCAGTAGACGACTGCACGACTTTCTTCCCCTTCGTAAAGTCCCCGACGGGAACGTTGCATCTAGCTTGCAGCTTGCAAAGAATTCTTTGTTCCGACTGGGCGTTGTGCATTGGCGATGACTACCCTGTTGGTTGCTGGATGCCGATGGTATAAAGATCTTGGCAGCCCAGTGCGGGCCTCTCGCTCTAGCTCTCTTGTGTCAATCCTTCAGCCATCCCTGCCACCCATCATGACGGCCTCATCACACCACATCGTCCTAGTGACAGCAGCTGCGTTCGCTGTCCTGACTTCGGGTAGTTCTGCAGCCTCTATTACCCTTCAGCCCGATTCAGCCCTGGCCTACGTTCCTAGTCTGGCGGGAAACACCATCATCTGCTCCTTCTATGCTGCGTTCACGGTGATCGCTGCTTACCTTACCATCAGACACCGCGCCTGGTGGGCAATCTGTCTTCCCACCGGAACCTTCTTCTCCGCGCTTGGATTTGCTCTACGTATCGTGCTGCGTAGTCCAGCGAATCAAGGCGATAAGGCCATCTTTATTCCGCAATATCTCTTCGTCGTGCTGCCACCGGCATGCTTCCTCGGATTCGCATATATCGTCGGGGGTAGGCTACTCGTCGCCGTTACGGCAATGGACGGAGGCGCGGTGACCAAGCCCGGAATGGAGCCTCTATGCAGTACACCAGCAGACAACGGACACTCGCGCAACGTTTCACTCGAGCCAACTGACACACGTCAGCCACCTTTGAGTCAACGTTCGCCTTTCGCGATCTTGCCGCCTCGCCTCTATACGTTCATCTTCGTCATGTCAGATATCGTCACCTTCGTCGTTCAAGCCGTTGGAGCCTCCCTGCAGACTAGTGACGACTACGATACAGTCCTCACGGGCTCACACATCTACTTGGCGGGAGCCGCCGCTCAGATGGCCAGTTTCTTCCTCTTTGCACTTATCATGATCCACTCTCACTGCAAACTCTATCTGGTCGACCCAGAGAGCTACTCGTTCAAGCGAGCCTTCGTCAAGCGCAACCCCGGTAGTGTCCTCTTCGTCACTTTACACGCCGTAGGCATCTGTATCCTTCTACGATGCGCCTTTAGGACCGCGGAAATGGCTTTGGGCGTCCGATCTCATCTATACAACACAGAGATCTACACATTTCTCTTGGACGCCCTGCCTCTTCTGATCGTGGTGGCCTTCTTCCTTGTGGTCTGGCCGAAGAAATATCTGGACAGAGTTGTGCCGTCCGAATCCATCAAGACCGTGTTGCGCGAGCTCAATCCTTACTCGCCAGAAGGCAGAGACCTTGAAATGGACGACGTCCACCACGACCATTACGCCAAGGGAGCCGAGACTCCCCCTCGCAACTGAAACAAATCATTCCCAAGCAGCCACTTCGACACGCCCGCTCATTGTACATAGATTCATAGACACACAGATCCGTATTCAGACGATTCCAACTGTTCCTTCTGCTTCGCTGGGGCAAAAGCTGTTCACCTTTCCTTTCGCCAATGAGATACGTCGCCGCTAGACCAGGTCTCTCCTATCGACGATTCCCAATGTCTCTTGTATTCAGCTTACTTAGAATCCATCTGTAGAATACGAAACTTCATTCCTCCATCGAGAGTTGATCACAGAACATCACGTTCTCTCGAGAGCCATCGAGAAGTCGAAGGCGGTGCACTGCGTGAGGTGATCGACGTTTGGTAGTGAAAAGTCCTGTGGGGCGGCGAAATGCCATTCTTGTCAAGATCGAAGACTTGCGCTTCCATTGTTGGTGAAATGCTCCTGACGCGTAGCTTTGTTGCAGCCCACAAGATCGATCATCATCGCTCTCTGAGCGTAGCTAAGACTGTCTTTCATGCCAATGAAAATTTACCCTCGGGAGTACCGGAAGCGGTTGCACTGCATTGCATCGACAGACAAAGCTGACTCCGATTGCGCCTCCTTCCTTCCTTTCCTTCCAGTAGCGAGGGTCTAGTATCGGGTGGGGTCCTCCTTCCTTCCTTTCCTTCCAGTAGCGAGGGTCTAGTATCGG